GCAGCAGAAGCATCTAGAGACACTTTACTGGACGCACCAAAGATGCTCTTGAGGTGCATGTGACCGTAATGTGTGCAAGCATAAAAAAGGAAGCAGCAGACACCCGTTTATTAATGAAAGAATGTGACAAATCCCATTTATCCACTAGATATGCATCAAATTTTCTACAAAATCTATTTATAGTCTTGACAGATATAAGATGATCGGAAAGACGGTGTGAAATAATTATATATTTTTTATATAAATGTCATGTAGGGATGATTTTGAGTGGCCAACTGAGAGCTTTAAGAGGATTCCTGGAAGAGCCTTTTAATAGACAGAATGGTGCTCCAGCCAAAACAAAAGTGGGAAAAAAAGGATGTACTTGGGTGATTTAATCCACTTGGCCTCAGTCTTCTTGTTTCAATTTCTACTTTTGTGCAGCCTCAGGGGTGCAGTGGATGAAATCGATGCTGGAGCAGTTCTTTTTTTTCCTGAAATATCAAATACATTGTTACTCACAGAAAGGCTCAAGTTTTAGATGCCTAAATGTTTCACATAGTGCAAAATTTAAGACACCATTATTCCTACTATTTGAAACATGCTTAAAACATGAATACCTCCGGTTTACCAATTGTGGTGCTGTTGAGAGATTCTGAGCATATATAAAACATTCAGATGATGGCTTTCTTAGCCTCTTAAACAAATATGTTATTGTCCAGTGCCTACACTACTAAATAGCTAGAGTGGAGGACGGCATCAAAATGGAACATCTGCCTTTGGATAAACAGATGACAGTATGATGACTACACATCCTGAGAGACCCTAGTCTTTGAAAGACTTCCAGGTCTACTAAACAAAGATGTTCATACTGCAAAAATATAGCCTGAAACAGAACAAAGGTTTGCGAAGGAGATATGTACAGCAGATGTAGAAATGGCTCTAGTAGAGACATTCTTTTTTTCTTACCGTTTCTTTGCTTTAAAACAGTCAACTGAATGAGTCACTGAATGTTTCTGTGCAAATATGTTTCCACATGGGAAAATGTTTTTAAGTCAGAAGCAGTCAGAACTGTAGTATACATCATACACAAGCAAAAGAGTTGGATTTTGAATTCTTCAAGTGATGGAGTAATATCAGTGCATAACAAAGTCGGCCTCAAATTATACTCCAGCATCTAACTGATTATTTGTGGTTGTTTAATTATAACTCTCAATAAAACCCATCTAAGTACAAATTTCTCTGCTCCATGCCTCAACAACTTCAGACATCCTTTCCGGTCACATTTCTTTAAATCCATCTGGCACTTTCAATGCATTATGAAATAAATCTGATGTTTAGTAAATTTTAATGGTCAGTGAATTAATGGTAGTTTGTATATGTTTACTACTGTATACATTTAATATTTATCTGGTTTGACAAAGTCATGTGACAACAACCTATTTTGACACTAATGCTATTTATGCGTCCATATCATCAATGATGGATATTGGTAGTGTTGTCTTGCATTATATACATACCAGATGAAAGTCAAATCTTATCATAAGTAAACAAAACTACTTTCTTTTAAGCTAAAGGAACTAACATGAACCAGTGAAACTGACATAAGAAATCCCTTTGATACCGTCTTATCCTTCATTATTATGTCTGAGTAGAGGATTAGTGAAGTCTTATTAGGATGTTGTACAGCTGGAACTGCCGGTCAATGAAAAATAAGCAGCTCTTTATTTGTGTTAAAACTGAAAAATTATCTCAACAAAGTTAAACCCAGAATTTTGCATAAGCCAGCAATTTGTTTTTTGTTAAAGTGTGTTCACAAAACTCATTTTCCTTAAAAGATAATTATTACACCAGTTTAATTCACCACCTTTATCGTTGCATGAAATTCATTCTCTTCTTTTGTTTCCCTGTTCTTTATTCCTTTAAGTCACAAAAGCACAAAAGAACTCTGTTCAAAGGCCTTTTCTGATAAGGCCAAGAATTATTAAGATTTACCCAAAGTACATTCTACATATATTTCATCACAAGACAACTTCATTTTAGAATCACAGCAGTGCAACAAAGGCATCCTAATGAGCTTTTAATGTTTCTTAATGACCCTTTGCTAGTCATTGTGCAACCTGATTATTTTCCTTCTTCCAGACCATTTGAGCCGGGACTGTCAGATTACGTCGCTTTTGTGGTCAATGACGCTAGAACACATCCCCTACTTAAAGGTTTATGGTCATCTCCTTCAGCAACTACAAACTTAAAATCAACGCCTTTAAGGTGCAGTGAAAACATGCAGGGTTCTAAAACCATCCTCTAAAATGTGTCGAATGATGATAACATAATCACTTAGCCACGACAAAAGGAATCATGTTGACACATTAACATGATCTGAAGTTGGAGCTTTAGTTGGGATTATGATTGATTTTTTTTGTACGTAAGTGAGCTGGGTTTCGGGCCATTAACAGATTTTCCTCCACCCCCTGCGATTAGCAAAAGCACTTTCCGCGCCCACACTGAATTCAGCTGGGGCCAGCTATGTTGCTGTGTGCATGGTCTTGCTGCCTATGCAGAAGATGTGTGTGTTTTGTGTTTTCATGGCCCCAGAATAGCCAGTTCTCCTAGGAATACAAACTGACAAATACAGAAAGGAGAAATAGACAAGTTGGCTAACATTAATGCGCTATATTTTGTCTCACTGAACAGTGCCACACATATTGTGAATGCATTTCTCTCTTCAGATGGGCTCTAGTGGCTGCATATGTCTGTGTTATACAATAGGTGATGGCACACATTCAGTAGCTTTCATGTCTACCAAGGGCCAATGAGGCAAAACCTCTAATTGAAAAAGTTTCCTTTGAAGCGAGAGTGAATGCTAATAAAAATAGTCATGATAGTAAACTGACATCAAAGATTCCTTGTGACTTAATAATGATAAACAGTAGACATGGAAGTATGTTTCTTAATAATTCTTGGCCTCAGAAAAGGCCTTTGAACAGAGTTCTTCTGTGCTTTTGTGACTTAAAGGAATAAAGAACAGGGAAACAAAAGAGGAGATTGAATTAGCACCATATATATTAATACTCTGAACTTCCATATCAATGCATTTTTGCACCATGTTTTTTTTTCTTCCCACACTGTTTACATTTGATCACTGCTGCACTTTATGGAATGGAAATGTTAATTTCGGTTTGTTTTGTATACATTCTGTGTATACAAAATTTCAATAAAAGTTGTCTAAGTTTGATTGCAAGACCAGCTTCTCATCCTTCTGAGCCATATTCACCCACATGGTATCACATTTTGTATTCAGTGCTGCTCAGTGGAAGTAGCATTTAGACATTATGTGTGAGCAGATTACACATTAAAAACACAAATAATTACCTGGTAAATTCTAAAACAATGTGTGGGTCTTGTCGACTTCTTCAAGCTTCATCGTGTGGTAAAGAAAACCGCGTTGTGAACTTGTCCTTCAGCACAAGATTGGTTCTTCCTTAAATCTGAGATTCCATTTGGTTAAATCCCTTTACCAATGGAGGGACTGTTGAGTGGATGAAGAGAAATCCATCCTCTTCACCTGTTTGTATCCACATTTTTCCATTGTTTCCCCCATAGTTGTTTTCAAGTATCTCCCTTGTCTCTGTCTCCAGTTTGCAGTCATGCATACATGTATTTTATATTTACCATTCTCCTGTTAAAAGCTTTTCAAAAACATAAAACAAACCTTACCACTGTAGAGAGTGATAGACTTCATAGCCGTGCAGTAACAGACACAATGTATTGATCCTTATATAGTTTGCCTTTCTGGCTCAAGGGTATTTGTGAAAACACTCCTTCTTGTGTCAGAAACCTTTAAAAGTAGAAGAAGAGTTCAACTATATTGTCATTACACTCTCAAAAGTACATGCCACAACTCCCCCAAAGTACTTACCTGCTTTATAGACAGTGGTAATGCTGATTGTAATGCAGTTATGTTTTTTGTTGTGTTTTATCCAAGTTCTCCAAATGTCTTAGCTTTAGGAAGGTATACTATTTAATCTTGGTATATTCACTTGACAGTGTCTTTTGCACTGGACAGATTCAAGGGTATTAAAATAAAAGTAACATTTCTCTAAAGAACAGTTTAAATATATTGCTTTTGGACAATTTTTTTGAATTAAGCGCAAGTATGAGCCAGCCAGGTTTTCGCTTAACTAATCTTCTCTCTGCCACTCATAGGAACCTAGTGGCAGTAAAGGCTAATTCTGCCTGTCATCAGGGTGAGGGACTCAGTGGCCCATGGCTTTCCCAAGGCCAGCCCTTGTTACATGAAGAAAGATTTTTTCATCAATGACAGAGACCCCCTCCACAGAGGTCACACAAAAAATTTAAAAGGCAGAACCTGAATCTATTCTGCCATAGGAGAACAGAAACTCTTATTTTCTTATTCATCTTCTTGTCTGTTTTAAAAATTAAAAATGGATCTAGCTATCTTTTACACCCATGTATATCACAATGACATCTATCTCAAGGGATCTGCCTGTTATGTCTTAGGAATCCTTCTATTCCCTCATACATAAATCAAACTGACATGTGGCTTGCACACTCTCGGCTCTCATTTCTTGAAGTCTCTGGTATGCACCTTAATTGGATTCTGTGTTTGTTTTTTTACCAAGATTCACAACATTTTTAAGTGTGCACGTTGGTCCGTCTGAGAGTTTACGCTGAAGATATGAAGTCTGGTGTGTTCCCTGTTTGTTTGCTTGTTTTTTGTGTGTTTTTTTTTTCTTTCATCTTTCTCTTTGACTGGAATTGGTGTCAATTAGTTCTGGATGTTTTTTTTTTCAATTATCGCCATGTTTATTCTTGTATGTAAAATATATCACCTGGCAGCAAAATGCTTAAAACAGGGGGTGGAAATTTAGCATCGCAAGACGTTTTGTTTGGATTCCCTGAGTGGTTTTCAAATTGCTTCAGGTTGACAAAGCATCCGATGTTTGCTTCCTGTTAATGCTTTATTGGGAGCTTCACACTGCTTCCCTCTGTCTCTACAGGAGGCTGAATGGCACTGTGATGAGTTCACCAAGGGAGCCTGCTTCAGCCGTGGAAAATCCGAGGTGAGTTTACTTCAACATATCGTTTTATCAAACACATGCCACTATGATGTTATCCACTACAATGATCACATTGTAGTGAATTACTTTGGCTCAGCTGCATCTTTAGAGCCAACAAGTGTTGTTGTCTCAGTTAGAAAGCTGCCTTTGAGTTCTTTTGTATTATACTATATAAAAAAGAAAATGTACTTCATAAATATTAATTTATTCCACTCTTTATAAAACAGAATTATTCAATGTGTTTAATGATGGCGGATGGTGCATCTGGTACGTAGGCCTTCAGTGGGCCCCCCTCAACTCTCCTTATCCCGTTGATGTCGGAATTTATATGTATGCATATATATAACAACTTACACTGTTAGGGATAGGTTATAACAAGAGCTTGCCAAAGGTTCCTGTTCACTTAATGTAATAACTGCCACTGAGGTAATTCACCTGCTATCTTAGTAATACCAAGGGATTGTTGCATATCTGCAACAATGGGTGTAAAAGAAACCACCAGTAGTATTCAATTAAAAATGTAACAAGCGCAGGCATAACAGAGTAATATACCTCTTTGAATACAGAGATTTATTAAGCACAATGCCGAGTTAAGACAACCACAATCCTCTATTCTGTAACCATGGGTCAGACATGTTTACTTCATCAGTAGCCGTTCAGATTCAATATACATCTAATAATTACTTGATAAAAAAAGCATGAAAATAAAATGTATAACACTCACCAGAGATGCTTATAATTTATAAACAAATCCATCCTTCTGAGCTTGTGCAGGAAGCCTTAGTATCTACATTTAGCATCAGTCATTGAGGCCAAAATAATTTTTAACAAAAGTGATTTTAAAATGCAGATTACCACTAGCTCAACTTGGCTGTAAACATTTTGCTCTAACTGACCATTTAGAGGACAGAAATTAGTGGGCCCGCTAAATGGCCCTGTGGGGCAAATCTGATTGGTTGTAGAAAACGTTCCTCACTTTAAGGTACTGTTTCATTTGCCAGCACTGCTGATCCTGATTTCCACGGGCAGATTTGATTGACATAGCAATACACTAAGGCCAAAACTCTGATTGGACAAAAAAGGCAGCAACCACTTGAAGCAGCACAGCAAAGAGAAACACTACAAAATTAAGAGAATGGATTGTTTGGAATAAATTAATACAGTTGGATAGAAGAAAATTGGGTTTAGGTTGTGAATGTAGGTTGGTGTTTCTGGTTGATTATAGGCCAGCAGTGAAGTCTTTGAAGGCTCTCACGCCCACCTCTGGTGTTTAGTAATGTAAGATGTAATCCAATCTTAACATTGTTGAATTTACTCTATTTTTCTGTCTCTACTTAAATTTCTGTTTCGAAAGAGGGTATGTTAAGCCAAAATAAATAAGTAGCAACAAATATCAGTTGAGGAATAGGATGCATCACACAGCAGTGTGGGACTAAGTTGGTAATTACCATTAGGAAGAAATGTCAGCCTATTAGAGTTTTGTACTGTTCTCTCATCCTGACTGGCTGTTGAGGCCCTAGTTTTTTTTTTGTTAATGAATTGTTAATATGTATTTTCTCTTCAACCATCAAATATTCACCAGTTAATAACTAAAGGCAAAAGCAAAACTGTTTTGCATTAACTGAAAGGATTTTGGAAAGGTTTCTGGAAGTTTAGCCCATTATGCTTAATACGGCTCCTAAACGCACAGTTTTAATTTAATTGCACACAAGTATTGTACAAGTTTTTGAAAAATATAAGAACTATGAGCCTGGAAAAAATTACATAGTATTTGTTTCTGCTACATTGATACATATGATTTTGATAAATAAATGATCAGAAGCTATTGTTTAAAATGGTCCTTCACCACCACCAGTGACGTGCGGTCAGGGGAGGCAGGTGAGGCAGTGCCTCACCAGCCATCATGGAAAGAAAGAAAATATATAATCATAAAGTAATTTAAATTGTTATATTCATCCGGTGGTTTGTACTAAAAAATATTCATTTTTCATGTAGCTTCACCAATTTCGATTTTTATTTGTTCAAAATCGCTGAATTTTCTTATTTTCCCATTCAAATGCTTGGAAGCGATGCCGGTGAGGCAGCAGCGAGCTCTGCCTCACCTTGGATTGCGCAACCCCTGGCTCTGCGCTGGCTGCAAAGCGGAGAGAGCATGTTGCTGTACGGCGTCAATAAAATGGTTTAAACAAATGTAATATGTGAACTTATTTCTAATAATTTGGCTTATGTATATAATGTACAGAGCTTTTTGTCACCAACTGTGTTTGTGTAACGTGTTTCGTGTAATGAGCGATTATAAACGGCAGAGAACAAGTTCGAGGTGAGGCAGGCAGTTCTCTTGCCTCATGGCAGGGGGTGCTCAAGAGACTGAAAACATAAGGCAGGAACAGGACGGATCAAGGAAGGCTTTCTTCCCTGGCAGTGATCTCCATTGAGACAGAGAGACTTTTAAAACTGAAGGAAGATAAGGAGGACTTCTATTCATTTATAAGTAAAGGTAAGACAGTAATAACATTTATTTTGTTTTGTTTTTTAAGGAAATGTGTGTTTTGTGAGCTACAGTTTGTATGTGTAAGGATGCAGAAGTGAAACATAACCTGTAAACTGCTGTCAATCTATGCATCTATTTGCAAATCTGATTCTGATGACGTCAGTGCCTCACCAGCTATGAACCTCACCGCACGTCACTGACCACCACAGAATTTCACAACTTATCAACAATCTTTGTGGTTATGAAGGTTTACAGATCAGAGGGTTATTCCATAAAACCTGCTCAGAAAAGATGGCCTTGGATGCCGATTCTGATTCAAATTGGGTACATTTTATTTCACAATTACCAGCAGGGAAATGCACACCTTGCAACAGGTTAAAAATGGGTACCAATCCAATTTTACTGAATTGTTTTGAAATAAAAACTCTTACAAAACCTCTAGCCTTCTAACTGGAGCTCAGAACTACCCTCTTAATGAGCACCCTCTTGAAGTGCAAACTCAAATGAAGTACTGTAATATTAAATTTAAACATATCAACACTTGAGAGCAACCTGCGTCTCTTTATGCACCCTTAACATACAGAGACTCCGGAAGTGACAGTGTGGCTTCAAAGTGGTCTTAAATCAACTTGCTATATAGTAAAGCGTTCCATAACTATACTTATACCTTTTTTTATAGACTTTTGAGCAAAGGGAGTTTCTATTGTTTTAGTTCTTTCTTTGCACACTATATTTTACATGTGGTTGGTTGGCATAGCTTTTATTTAAAACAGATGTCTTTCTGAGCTGAACTTGACTTGTAGGTGAACTGCTCAGCCTTGATTTCTATGTGCGTGTGCCACTGTGTATTTATCCTCCAGTGAAAGGTGGTCAGGGACCCATAATAGGCATGCACAGTCTGCCCAGCACATGATCACTGAAGTGAATTACAGACCAAAGCTACCTCAGTCCTTGGGAGTTGCTGCAGTCTGGCATAGCAGTATTGTTTAGCTCTGTGTACTCTTCTGAGGATCAGTTGCTGTGATGTACACTAAGAATAGCTTTAGAAGCTTATTTTTCTTTCCCTCCAGCAGTTGACATGGCTTTCCGTGGTTTATTACCTACCTCAATGCACAGCAATATACCTTAGCTTAAGCTATTACACAGATACCATCCCTGTGCTTTTCAGAGAATTTACTGGTGATTGTGTGTTTTTCTTCTTTTCAAACAATAGCATCCGCTCCTCACTTCTGTGTTTGATGTATTTGAGCTACAACAAGAAAGGAGAGTTCAATCAGCTTGATTGCTGCCAACCAAGAACAAACACTTTTGCATTACAGTACAGATGCAGAAATATGTCTGAAAGCCGTCATAATAAAGCCAAGCAGAAAAGTTTGCAAAATGTTAGTATACATATTACAATTAGTAGAAGGAAACTGTGGGGAAGAATTGAAATATGCAGATTCTTTTTTCGACACCGTTCCTTACACAAGTTTATAAAACAAACTGTGCTGCATAAACACTATCAGTGCAGAGGCATATTAATGAATTTAAATATTTCAGTTATTTTATTCAAATAGTGAACCATGTTTATTATGTGCCAATTAATTCTGTTTACCTACAACAATGACTCATTTAAAATAACATAAAAACACAGAGCTTAAGTAAGCCTTACATGATAAAAAAACACCTTGTTATTTTAATCAGGAAATGTTGGACTGCAAAGTATATTTTTACATATACAGTCCTCTCTGAAATTGCCTTCCAATACATTTTTAATTATTATTGAGAGAAGATGTTTCTAAACAGAGCTAGTTTGAACCCATTTTTTAACCTTTTTCTTTTGTTGCAAGGGTACACAATTAAGTTTGACACTGCATTTATACTAACAAGGTGTGTGTTGACTGGTCACAGGAAGAACAGAGGCGGTATGGGGCTGGCCCAGTTTTGCATGCACTGATTTGCTCCAAAACAATAGCCAAATCTCAGCAATGGTGCACATATTTAGTGTTCACCCCAACCGACTGACACTTTAGGACTCCAACTGATTCCGGAATGCTATCTTGAACCAAAGCCAGAACCAGAAGGCGAAGAGACAGACACATTGTAATAGAGATTCCTTAACCAAAGACATGCTTACTAACAGAAAAGCATGTAGAGCAGTTTACAAACATTCACATGGCAAAGCAACAAAGAAATCAAGACACTGTAGAACTCTGTATAATACATAGAGATGTAGTGTTAGCAACATTAGCAGGTGTCCATGGTTCGTTTAGCATTGTTTACCAGCAACTAACAAAATAATGTTAAATGAGCAATGCATACTGACTGCACTGTAATTCCCTGGTTGTTGGAAACACTGCCTTTGTCCAAATACACAATCTTTAGATGTTCTTGTCACAAGTTATCAAAACACTGGTGAAAAATTTGCAGCATAGATTTAAAGCACCGCTTGAAAAGGAAGATTGTTGACAAAGATGACCCTTATCCATTTTTCCACGGTTTGTTCAACAGGCAAAATTAAAATTCCAAAATTGTTCAAAAACAAACCACTGGACTTTGTTTTCCAAGTTTGAAGATGTTTGGCTTCCCATCCAGGAAGCTTTTACAATTCAAAATGTCAGAATTAGAATTATTGAGTTCCAAGCTTTATAGAGTAGCCCAACTCTATAAAGCTTTGTTTTGGCTTAGAAGTCTTGTTTTGGCTTAGAAAACATGCAAATTGAACTGGAAGAACAGGTCCACCCTTAGTAATGGCGAGCCGTTGAGGTCTTTGTTAGCCTACAATAACCAATACTGGTCTATTTTTCTGAAAAGGGGAGACATTAGGGGCAATGTTGGCCTGGCTGACCAGGCAAGCTTTCTTGGTCCCCTGCATGGCAATGATGATTATGATAGCGGGAAAGGATCAAGGTTACCGATAGAGTGTCACTGGGTAGAGTGAGAATTCGTTAAAATAAATTGTATTTAATTAAATAAAATTCATCAAAATCAAATTGTGTGTAAGTGGACAAACTACCAAGCAACTCAACAGTGTCTTGACTGTCATAGTCATAACAATAAATAGTTGGATTTAAAATCACATTTTATTGGTCTTATGTAATACTCTGAACTTTTGATCCATAATCCACTAATTAATCAAAATTCATATTAAACCAATGTTCATTTGTTGTTTGTAATTTAAATGTGCTTCTTGAAATAATTCTTCTGAATATTTAACATTTACCTGGGTGCAAGAATCCAATGCAAATGTGGTGTTAATAAACAAAGCTTCTGTTTTAAAGGTAAATATAGAGACACTGTGAGTAGGCCTACTTTGCTGTGCTGAGAGGCTACAAAAAATTGTTTTAGGTACCAGTTCAAGTCCTTGTGAGAAATAAAATCTCTTCTTTCTTCTCGGACAGCCTCTTGTTCTTAATCTGATCCCTGAGATTCAAAGAAGCTGTGGTAAGGGCTTCGCTGGTGGCTCAAACAATAGCAGATTTACAAGGGTTTAAACTTTTACAGAAGCCCCTTACCTACAGCAAAGGCCACTTCCAGAATGAGGGGACCCTACAGGGTTATTATTTCGCCTTGTGACAAAAGGAATTGCGACTTCATGCCACCTTTACATTTACAGGTTGACTCTGTTGAAGGAAACAGCCTGCAAGCCTCTGTGAAAGTCTGACCTTTATGTCGAACGTTCTTGAAATTGAGTAGAGATCTGTAATCCAATCAATCATTCACTCTGTCAGTACTGCTCTACATTTCAAGAGTTATTAGTAGTTTTGGTTGAAACTCAGGGCGAAATTCCCGCAAGAGTAAGGAGCCAAGAAAAGGCCAATGAAAGTGCACTTTACCCTGATTTAGAGAGAAGTGGTTTAAATTGATTGGGATATCTAAGGAGAAAGAATGATTGAATGAATTGCATGAGACATGACATTTTCATTCCACTTTCTGACCAGTCGACAAAGCCTAGGCAATTTGTTAAACAAATTGAGAGTGGCCTTCTCCAACACCTGTTGCATTTATCTGGTCTTCGCTTTATTGAGATCCTTCTCCAGCCCTGATCCCCACTGAATTAGGATGTGACATGGCTCAGTCATGTAGGTATTAGCCTTGATTTGACTCCATGTAAGTTGGACACGTTTCAGAGCAGCCCTCCTGTTGATGCAGGTGCTTTTCGTACTTATTGGCATAAAGTGCAATTTGAAGCCTTCTGCCTAATACTGATGCTTGCCATTGGATAAATGATTAAACTTCTGCTAACGGGTATATATGTTTTTTTCTCTGTGTGTTTTTGCAGGAGGAGTGCCAGAACTACATTAGGGTACTACTGGTTAATGGGAACAGACTGTTTACGTGTGGAACCAATGCATTTACCCCCATCTGCACCAACCGTACGGTATGAGCAACATATCAGGCACAGTGCTGTTTTAGAGCCTGCAACTTGAAATCTAAAGCATTTTTAATGCAAACACAGCATCCAAAAATTTGACAGAAAATTAAACCATCGGTTTCAGCTTCCTTGTTCTCTAAACATTACAAAAAAACACTGATAAACTGCTGTTTTTATCAGTTTCATATTAAGTTGTAGATTTAATGTTCTGTTGAAATATCAATATTAGAATCTTACATCCATCAAGACCAAGACAAACAAGTTTGTTTATTAGGCAGCTATTTTTTCCATGCATAAAAACAAGTGTGACCTCCACACTGTATACATATTAAGACATAACAAGTGCTGCAACATTTTACCACTACTATTCCTTTAAGAATTTTAATCTCAACTGGTAAGAGGTTTCTTTGTAATTTATTGAACACATCTTTTACATAAGCTTAAAAAAGTTATCCTGCCTCCATATTCCTTTTATAACAAAAAAGACACAGTAATTTAAAATTCTTGGTTATCTTCAAGCTGTAGTTTTGTTATAATGTGTCATAAAGTTCAGAAAATCTATGTAAAATCTGTTTAGATTAAAGCATTATATATTTTTAAATGAGCTACAGCTTTATCTATGTGGCCTCTTTAAAGAAAGATGTATCTTAAATAAAAATGTTTAACTCTTCTTTGAAAAGACAAAGCTCTGTATAATAGAATGAACAGATATATAAATAATTGGCCCATTTAAGAATGTGGCTTTGAAAATATTTTACTTAATTGCAATTAATGATAAACTTTACATTTTTCATCAAAGCAGAGAAAAAAATGCCAAAGTAATTTTTGATACCCTTAGATCTTCAATGTCTTTCTACCAGCCTGCATCTAAAGTCACCATGGTAACTAGCTGCTATAACATCATAAACGTGTCAGGCGTTAGCTTTGGCATCCAACCTAGCATTAGGGAACAGGGGTCTTAATATACTTTTTTGTTGTTGCCTTGAATAAAAGTACTGTAAGTGTAGTTAGATTGTGATTTTTGGCCAAAATCACAAAAGCACAGCAATCTCTTAGCTGTAGGTTTTCATGCTGGTTGTGTTATAAGAGCTGTACTGTAGATAGTCCATCCTGTCATCAAAGGGAAGAAAGTTAAGGAAAAGGTTGTGATTAACAGCTTTTTATTTTCTTTTTTATTTCCCTTTACCAGTTTAATCATGCTTAAAAGTAAGCTTGGTCATCTAGCCACTAGCAGTTTATTGTGCAGTTTCAAAAAGCCATGTTTTTAATTCAGTCATTTAAAATCAAGGGAGTAAGCTGCATTACTTACAGCCAAAATAATTTGCTGCAGTTAACTTGAGTTAAGCCATTTGTGAACCTTTAACCAACCTGGTTAGTTTTACATATACAATTTAAATGGTCTGGAATTTCTCCACTGATAAAATGATCATGACCTTGCAAATTTCACAAATTTATCCAGTCCTTTTACATGAAAATAACAGTGCTAAATCAAAGCAGACAGCTGCTACACTTAAAAAATGCTGCTATAAGAGTGCAGCATTATGTTTGTTATGTAAACATTGCGAATATGAAGACTTGTTTGTTATTTTAATGAAGCAGCATTGTTTGAATGAAAGGTCAGGTTGATCATCTGATTTAATCAAGGTGAGTCAGTAGACTGACTCCTCAGCATTCTCTATACAAGCTCCCATTGTGCAGCCAGGTATGTAGACTAATTATAAAATGAACCCTATTAAGGACTCTTTGTTTAGGGAATTAATGATACCCAAAACATGTTTAGCATCTCAATCAAAAATTAAGCTTTTTATTCCTGTTAATGTTGCATTGGGTTCCAAGAAAACAGGTGTTGGTTTTCTTTAAGTCAATGAAAATATTCAGCTTCTGTTTTTCTTCCCTCACCTTTTTTGCACTTTCTTTTTCAATATAATGAAGTAACTCCTTTCTGCCTGAGTTTTTTGAGCAAATAATACACATAAATGATTTTTTTAAATCAAACATCTCAGTTTAAAGTCTGCAGGTTCCTGACACACTGAGGTCAAACGTGTTGTCTAAACTTGTTCACTTGCTGTAATTTTGAGAATATGCATCTAAAGGGTTACGGAAATATCTAAGAGACTACTGCTAGTACCTTGCCCTGAAGTCAAGTGTAGCTGAACTTTTAAAATGTCATACTATTGCTTTTACCACATAACAGTGATATGTCCACACCACCAATCTGCTTTTCACTCTTGAATTTTTTAAGCAGAAAGCTGGGCAGGAGTTTACTATTGGGATGACATTTGTTTTGGTCCTAAAGCATTGCATTCAAAGGTCAGAAGCTCATAATGACTGTTTACAGCTGTGAAAATACATATAGTTGAAATGCCATGACATTATTACAGCAGTATTTCTTTGGGAGCCGTCTTATTTATGAGCTGCATGTTCATTAATGTGTAACACAAGTCGGGACAGTCAGCACCAATAGTACACCGCTCAAACAGTTTTTTTTATTAGCTGTAACAGTGAACAGAGCAGCATAAATTTTAATAATTTAACTGAAAAAAGGGAAAGCTTTATAATAGCAGAATAGATGGTGTTAGAGTACCTTTTTTAGTAGATGAATTACTCCTAAAAAACATTACACAAAATGAGTAGGTGAGGCATTTACTGTTTCTTAAAACTCAGATTCTCAAGAAAAACATCTGTTAGCTGTCTGAGGGTTAACTGCCCCCCTTGCTATATGCTTCCTTTGTATGAAATGGTTGACTTCCATCTGACGATATATATTTTTATTGCAATACACGTTTAATTCAATTTTGGCTTCTATAGCTGGTTATACCAGGTACACTTCATTAAAAAAAAGTGTTATTCAACATTTAAAGAATGTTTGGTCTGTCAAACCCAGACAGTTTGACATGCTCCTGACTGAACTAAATGTGAACACCATCAACAGACTTAAAAAGCTTTCCATTGCCTTTCAAAAGAAGTTCTAGCAAATGATGAGTCTGGTAAAAATTTTAAGTATCAACACACATTCAAATCATCCATTGAGTATAATGGAAAATAGACATTAAGTGGAGGACATTGAGATTCAATTGACACCAGTGTCGAGGTTGTGTCAAAAGGGCTAAGCTTGAGACCAGATATCGAGGTGATGAAAGCCTCCAAAAGCCCCTAATGCCATAAACAATTTAATACTATCGTTATTTTTACAGTTTGGGTCTCTACCACTTTAGAATGCAACTGTAAAAGTTTAACTTCCCAAAGTTTACAAGGAGGAGACCTTTAATTTCCGAAGGCATGTTCACATAAAGGCGAACAAGGCAAATCTCTACTTGTAGGAGGAGGGATCAGCCACTGATTAGTTTTAAATGGAAAAAATATTTCGATGCACTGCTCTCCTTCACCTTACATTAGAACAATATCTAGTTCCTGATTGGTTAACAGAAAACTGATAGAACAATAGTTAAACTCCAGCGAAATTTGCACAATTGTTTTGTACTATATGCATATCTTGATACAAGTTCTTCACATCACCATCCATTTATTTTCTTCTGATCAGGCCTTTACATTGGTATAACATTTAAATCATTCACCCTATTGAAATTGTTCATGTATTGCTATTATGAATTAGAAACTGTTAGAGGAAAATAAAAGACCACCCGTAAAAAGAAAATTACACAGAGATTACCCAAAGCATATCAGCAAATTCGTAAAGGGCTTTTAGAGTGAAGAAATGCAAGGACATGATAAAATACAATAAATAAAATAAATAACAGCATTATGTAGTAATGTGTTTTTTTTTTTTTTGTTAAACAATAAAAAGAGTAAAGCAGGTTGTAATAGTGCAGAAGCCTGATTGTTCTAACAGAGCATCTAAATACTTTTGCTGTACAGTGTTCATTGAGTTCAATGGGAAGATAGCCTGGGGAATGCAGATTCCTCTACAGCAGTTTGTTTTTGCTATTAACACTGTAGCACTTGTCTGAAGTTAAGAGTTTGAACAGCCTCTCACCAGGACGCATGTGGTCGACATGTTAGATATTCTTTTTTTTGCCTTGGACTTTGACAATTAGTGAATCAAATTCAATTATGTTTATTTATATAGCGCCATATAGCGTCATCTCAAGGAATATAACAGAGACAGCATAGTCAGATTGGTTAGGAAAACTAGTTGATGGAATTCAGTCATTGACTTGCAAGAGATGCTCCTCCTGGATGAGCTTGTGGCGATGATTTTCGCTTGCATTTTATCGTTTACTCTTCAAGTTGAAAACTCTCTTTTAGGAAGAAACCTTTAGCAAAACCAGGCTCAGTGTGAGCGTCTATCTATCAAAGCCGACTGTGGTTCAAGGAGTAGCAGATGTTCAAAAAGTAATGGTTAACCAGCTCTACAGGTGGCCCTGTCCTGGAAGGACACAGCCAGGCAGAGGAGGTCTGAGCCAAAGGATAAATCAGAGCATATACAGTTAGTCACAGTAAAAGAAACAGGACTACACTGAAAATAGGCCAAGCTCCAACATCTATGTATGAACAAAGTTTGAGGGCAGCAGCACAGCTGATATTTCAATCCAGTTTGGAGTCACAGCTAAACGGGAACAGACCAGTTGAAGCTACTATAAGAAAAAGATAATAACGTTATGATTGGAACTTGACAAATACTGCAGGATGGAATTGAGATAGTCTGAAGCAGAATAAGGAAAAGAGGTCCCTATGTGATCCAGCAGCACAAACATATAGCAGCACAAATACAAAAAATCTTAACTACCTTGGATGAGGTACAAGTAAAGTTTTTTTTTCCACCACTGCCATCAGATTGTTGAACTGTTGAAAAAACTCTAAACCAAGTCAAAAATCGAGACTCTGCATCACACTGATATCATCATACCAAATAGAACTTAACTCAAAAGTCTACTACTGCATTTTTGCACCATATATATTTATTTATTTGCATTGCTCTGAACCTCCACATCAATGCCTTTTTGCATGATGTCACTCCTAAACTGTTTACATTTGATCATTGCTGCACTTTATAAGGGGGGATGTTCTTTTTCACTGCCAAGCTGCTGCTCATTCATGGTGGGAAAGTTGTACACACAAAATTTAATTTTGTGCACACTCTGTGTCTACAAGAACACAATAAAGTCTGTCTTAGTCTAAGTCAAAGTAGAGCACAGGAGAAATGTCTGTCCGGACAGAAATTTTTCCCCTGCCAGATGGGGCTGAGTGGTTGGATGAAAGGAGATCAACCCATATTATGCTTTCTCCCAAGTTTTATTAAGCAAAAATTGTATTTTCAAAAGCAAAGTGATAAATAGAAAAACAAAGCATTTATGAATGAAGAGCTAAATATTTGCTAGGGTGCTCTAGGTTTCATATATAATTGCTTGCCTTGAGGCAACTTTTGTTGTGAATCAGTATGTAAACAACCTGAATTCATTTTTGTCATATAGTCATCTTTAATAGACAGGCACATAGGAATAGCTAAACAAAAATGTATGTAATTTAAATAACACAGCTATGGCATTGTTATATCATTTTAAAATAAAAGTGTGCATATTTGACAAAAGTACAAAATAATCACACAGAGGAACTGTGATAATATTTACAGACCTCAATTTCTCTAGTTTAAATGTGTTGTTAATGCAACTTTTAGTGTTTAGCTCAGTTATGGCAAAAAGATTAGATTTTTAGTCAACCTGATGATGTGCTCATTGTTTATAACAAACTAAGAAGAAAATCCTAGGTATTGAAGTCATGCTATGGGTTATTGGAAGCCCTGTTGATAACTACGTTTTAAACCTACAATGCAGCTAAATGTCATATTCAGCAGAAAAAGTCTTAGGAGAACCTTTCAAACAGCTATGATTGTCCTGTCTGTAGGTACACTAAGTTATCTTTCCACTCCTACAAGAGTCACTTCACTTTCCACTTTCTGCAGCTGTTGAATCTCCACAAAGACGACTTTCACTTTACTTCTTCAACATGCAGCAGGTCTATAGGGAACTATTTATCCCTTTTCCCTTGTTTTTTCTCAATGACCCAACTGACCTAAAAAGATGTCTCATGCCAAAGAAGTAAATCATGTCAATACTAAGCTTTCATCTCAGACTTTCAAAGCTCACGAAGGGCTGCTGTTTGGTTGTGGTTCAGGTAATGCAGAGTTGGAGTTAGGGAGCAGTTGGCAGAATTTTTAATCCAAATTGACAGGCTCTAGGAAACTGGGACAAAAAACTGCTACGGTCTCCCTAAACAAACTTTTATAAATTGAGCCTGACCCTGTATTGTGGATTAGTAGAAGGAATTTGCAGATTAGTGAAAATGTGGAAATAGAGAAGAGATTGAGTCAAATCATTGGGAGCCTGTGCTGTCACTCAAGATCTATAACCAATGTGAGGAGTCAAGAAGTGAACATTGCTGACTGATGGAAAAATAGTTGCACAAAAGTTACTTAATTGCCACATCTAAACCTGAGATTAGAAAAGTCTTGCATCACCCATTTGCCCTTGGAACATAGACAAACTTGGAAAGTCTGTTTGCCATGAGATAATCCCTGTATGCTATTTGCCTTTTCACCATAAAATATAATTACATCTTAGATTTAAAAAATTGCAATTTTCCGTTTTATTTTCAGGGCTTAGTCACTGCACCATGTGCTATAGTTCTTCAGGAACTAGAGGAGAATATCAGGGCTAACCAGAGGTCAGGCTGTAAAGTATTCTTAAAACCAGAGGCTTGGATTTTGCTTTATATTCAATGACAATATGAAGCAGAACATTTTATCTTACTTCAAGCCTTTTTGTTGCTTAGAGTAGCAACTCAAAACAGCCATGAAGTAATATGCCACGCTGAAGAACTGCCGGTTGTATTGTCGAGACACCGGAAACCAGACCATCAAAGCACTTCAGCCAACATGAATTTCGTCGGTCCGGAACAGGTGGTTTCTTACCATTAGACCAAAAAGCAGCTGCTGTGTTTGTGTGTTTTACGATGCCAATTATTCTAAATGCGCTCTCTAATTACGCCGTTTGCTTCTGAAGGCTGTGGTTGTACATATTGTTGTGTGCTTCACAGTAGATGTAAACAAAGCTAAATGTAATGAAATGAGGTATTTTTGCAGTCGGTACTATTTGCATATTGGCAGGAACAAACAACACAGCTGCAGACTTCTTTAGTTTGCATTTTAATGCTGCCCTTTGATGCTTTGTCCTATATTTCTCTGCTGATGTCCTAAATCACTCTTTGAAATAAACTTAATTTAGTCCCATATCTGGTGTGAAGCAGCACCATCGACAATTATTGGTAGCCAAAATAATGATGGGAAAAACACCATAAGATAATTAATCTTTTATTGTATTAGCAGAACTGCATGCTTATGCATTTAAAAAATCCAGGCTGCAAATGGAGTACATTTCTGCAAATTCCAGCATAAGAAGTAACTATTCATAGTTACTAACCCCCTTCACAATTTCTGAAAAATAATAACCATACAGGTTTTTTGTTTTTACATTAATCAGAGCGCCCCTGTGACATAAATAGCATACTAAATAATAATAATGGTAATTTCACTAGTTTTTCCTCATATCTGCAGTCAAAACAAAAATGTACACATTCAAAACCACAAAAAGTAACATGGCTGGTCATGATCCCAGGTTTGAAGAACCACAATAACCATCACGTAGTATGGTATTGGTTAAAAAAAGTCTCTAAACTCACTTTTAAATGTTTTGCTCACCAAGTCAGGGTGATAATAGTTTCTACGTAGTTTAAAAATATTCCCAGTAAAGGGAATATTTTTAATCTACATTTATGTACATTTTAATGTTCAAAATTAGATGCCACTGAAGGTAAAGGTGGTATGTGCAGCCTTTGATAAATTGTAGCATGTAAATGAAGAAGTTCAGCCATTTCACTGATTCTCTTGATATTCTTTGCTTTGTTTTGCTGATGACAGGAGCTACACTAGTCACAATACAATGCCCTACCATTAGAAATGGTATTGATCAATTTTGCAGCACATCCATAATCTCTTTGATGACAGCTATAAAGTTTTAGATATAATGTTAACAGAAGAATAGATATGTGGAAAAGCACCATATGTCCACTTTGAATATTTAATATTCATTGCATGATTGACAAAGATTTTTGGAAAACTTGTCTGGCATCATGGATTATGAATAGCAGGTTATTTTGAATAAAAATTCTGTTGGAATCTGCAAGAAAACATTGAGATTTTCATTATTGGCATCCAAAACATATTAACAGTTCAACTTGCTTAAGCTTGAATTTGTTTTTGTTCGCATGGTGGCAAAAACAAGAAAAGTTTGTATTGTATTCACATTTCACAAAAAGTGAAGCAAATTCCTTGAAAACTCCATCTCCTGTAGCTTACATAACACCTGCATAAGAAAAAAAGCAGCAGATCTATGGAAGAGAGGGTATTTTTCGAATTAATGAAGGAAGAGGAAAAGAAGATGCTTTATGTTGCTTTGAAGACATATGATACAATTATCAGATTTTTGTAATCCCTCAGCTAGCTGAGCTTTAAAACTATTCAAAACATAACAGTTTACTGTATAAATTACTGCACCTGATAAAGGAGGAAATTTCAGACCTGTAAAAGAAAAAGAGAAAATCATATCCGCTTTTTTTCTACCTAGCAACGGCCACCCAAATCCCCACCAATCACACAACTTAGAGAAAATCTCCAGGTTCACCTATGAATACCACAGTTTACCAGCCTAAAACCTACAGAAAGTCTGTGGAATGAGAAGAAAAAAGTGACAGCATAGATAATCCAAGATCATGAATAATCAAGAAACAAAACTTGGTAAAAGATTGTTTTCTTCTATGAATAAAATGTTCAATTCAGTTAAGTTTATTCATATAGTGCCAATTCACAACACATGTCATCTCAAGGCACTTTACAGAGACAATTCAACCAAATCATGCATTTAAATTGATTGAAACTATGCAATCCCACACACCAAGCATGATTGTAGTGACAGTGGAGAGGAAAACACCCTTTTTAAGCCGTCAGAATGTTGTACAATGTCTTAACAGTAAGGTTACTATTACTGTGGGTATTTTAAAGCTGATGTAAAAAATTTAAATTTCTTAAGATGGCTGATTGTAATGAAAGTAAATGCAGCATTTTTTAAATCATTGTGTAAGATTGCTTCAATTCAATTCAGTTTATTTATATAGCGCCAATTCACAACACAAGCCATGTCAACGTACTTTACAGTTCACCAGATCATACAGTGAAATTGATTCACAGTTTTCTATCTAAGGAACACCAGTTGATTGCATCGACTCGTTGACTTGAAGTCAATCCCTCACACTAAGCATAATTAAAGCGACAGTAAAGAGAAAAACTCCCTTTTAACAGGATGAAACCTCCAGCAGAACCAGGCTCAGTGTGAGCGGCCATCTGCCGAGGCAGACTGGGGTTCAAGGAGACAGAAGCAGAGATACAAATGGCAACTCTAAAAGGTGGCCCTGTCCAGGAAACACTTCAGTACAATTTAATTTAATTTCAAGGAATTAATTAACTCGCTGTACCAATAAATGAGAATGACATTGTTTTCATGCTACCGACAACACAAATACACTCTACTCCCACACAGAGACAGTTTAGTCTTATCAGTATTTGTTTTATTTATTATCTGAAAGACCTCTTGTTGATCTTCCAGTTTTAACTTGACTTTTCTCTCTGTTACAGCTGACTAACCTAACAGAGATCCATGATCAGATCAGCGGAATGGCCCGATGTCCCTACAACCCTCTGCATAACTCCACCGCCCTAATCACGTCTAGTGGGGAGCTCTATGCCGCCACCGCCATGGACTTTTCTGGCCGAGACCCGGCCATCTACCGCAGCCTTGGCGGACTGCCGCCCTTACGCACCGCACAGTACAACTCGAAATGGCTTAATGGTAAGCAGCAAAGAACAGAAACGTTTTTTACTCTCTGCGAATTCATGTGGAAACTATTTTGAATTGTTTTAATATTTGCACTGCATCTGTTGGGCATTGTGTTTATTTGGACTTTTAGATGTTCATTATGTTTTGCAACAAACCACTTATGTTAATTAGCCTTTTATTGGTAAAACAAATAGTTTGAAGAGCTTCTTTCTGTGTGGTTTAAAAAATAGAGACCTTACCCTATCTTTGAGGAGAACTTTAGTTTGAAGTCCAGGAAAATCAATGCTGTTTCTTTTCCCCTGAAAGCTCAAAGACACTGCAGAGCAGATTGGAGAACTTCAAATAGCTTAAGAAGTGCATCGTACACAGGGGCAGGTCAATCAGTATCTTGTCCGAGACTGACTTTTTTTCCTGATTCACATTTAAGGTAAATTGAAAAAACAAATTTAAAACTACCTCATAGCTTGCTTGGCAGCCACCTTCTGGGAGAAGGCTTAATAACTAATTTTATGGAGAATTGATTTTCTTCCCTCTGCACTGCCCTCTGAAGGTGCAGAGAAGAAAAGGGCAGAATTGAGATGAAGGGACAAAAAAGGGGGGGACATTTTCCTTTAAAGCTGAATTAAATCACCGTTAGAGAGAAAAAAGTGTGTGGTTTAGATCCAATAATGTCATACATAGAGATAAACGCCTAAGCTGTAGCAGTGTCATGGGGGTTGCATGTTTTAGATAGGGTAAGAGCTATTACCCTCCACCTGTTTTGGTCATTTCTCAGTCTAACCTTTAGGTTTGGGGAGTGAAAAATGAGCTTTCTTATTACAAAACAAAGCCATTAATAACATAGCCTGTAGTTATTAATCCTGATCACCTGCTGTTGTGTGGCCCACACACAATCACACACATTCGCTAAATCAATCAGTCATAATGCGGAGTCTGTCAGTATCCTACTCCTTCCAACTCCCACAGCCTTAAATATTTTTCTGTCTGTATTTTTTTTTTCCATCTGTCTCCACTTCCTTTTTTTTCTGATTTTGATCGAGCTTTCTTTCTTGGTTGTTTTTTTTTTTTTCCCCACTCCTTTTCATTTTTGTCACCTCTTTTTCGACAGAGCCAAATTTCGTCTCCTCTTATGACATCGGCAACTTCACTTACTTCTTCTTCCGAGAAAATGCAGTGGAGCATGACTGTGGAAGGACTGTGTTTTCCCGAGCCGGCCGCGTCTGCAAAAATGACATTGGTGGACGCTTCCTACTGGAAGACACGTGGACCACCTTTATGAAAGCCAGGCTGAACTGCTCCAGACCTGGAGAAATCCCCTTCAATTACAACGAGCTGCAGGGGACCTTCTACCTGCCAGAGCTTGAGCTGCTCTATGGGATTTTTACAACTAATGTGTAAGTAATGTTAAGTGAAAAAGATTTAGGGGAATATTTTCAGTCCTGCAGCTCAGGGTAAACCTGAAACCCTTGTTACACTCTGGACTACTGTACCTCACACCGGTGCAGGCTTGTGGATTTTTTCTCCAAGGGGGGCTATAAATTCAATTAAGACATATGCCAAAAACCAAACAAATGTATATTAGAATATCGCACCAGTATATTATATGAATGCCAACAACAAAAAAATTATAAAAACACTTTATAAAAACAAAAACATAATTTTAATGTACAGGTTTACTTTCTGAAGGAAGTAAACTTTCTGCCTTGTGTTTTGCATGGCAAATCTCACGGCAAATCTATGTTTTGCATGGTCAAATATGGTGTCACAAATCTAATAAAACAATGTACAGGTTTTAATATTGGAGAAGCTATTAGTCAGCTTTACATTTTTTAATATATCAAAACTATTTATTTTCTTAGAATGTGTTCATTTAAGAGCAACTATGCAAATTAACAAACACCTAGAAAATGTACACTATATTATAGGGCTGGGCGATAATTCAATAACGATATATTAGGGCTGGGCGATAATTCAATAACGATATATATCGATCGATAGACGTGTGGCGCAATAGAAAAAAAGAGGGTCGATAAAAGTTCGATAAAAAAGAAACGCAGTTTTCCTTCCTTCTCATTGTAGCCTAGCATGTAGGTTTATGCTAGTCACTACTTCCTCCCAACCAATCACAATCGCGGACCCAGGCACGCTGTCACAAAGCACCGCCCTCTCAAACCACAACACAGAGCACATGAAGCTGTGCAGCAAGGAGAGGCGGAGGAAATTGTTCCAAAGAAGGGTTTTTGTAGTTCGCCAGTTTGGCAGTATTTCGGTCATGGCAAGTCGGACCAAAAACAAACCACAGTCATCTGTAAAATGTGTAGGGAACCAGTGAAAACGAAGTCTGATAACACAACCAACTTTTTTTTTTTTTTATCATCTCAGCTGCTCACACCCGCAGGAGTACGAGCTGTGTAATCCCCGGCGCGGCTCTCCTCCGAGGAATCTTCGGGAATTTCGGGAAAATATATATATATATTCAGTTCTGGGCAGTTTCCCACGTAGTTCTAACAATTGAGATAAAATTGCTGAGGGGCCAGAAACTTCAAAGTAATAACTCAGGTTAAAGCAAGAAACGGGGGCGGCGACGGTGGGGGGGCATTTATTTATTTGTTATATTTATTTTGGTCACTTTTCTGGTCACTTTAGTTTATTCTTTGACAGTATTTAATAACATAACCCAGGTCTCTTAAGTTATTTTTCTTTAAAACAATTCTGTTATGGTTAAAAAAGTTGGTTAAATAAAGATTTAATTCGAAGTCTATGTTTGTGTTTTTTATTAAAATTAAATCATTTACTAATATTATAAAAAGTCCAGGCAGAGCTGCACATAAAATATGGTTTCAAATCTTTTCAATAATTATCGATATCGATCAATATGCATTTTTTTTTATCGATAAGCTCTTTTTCTATATCGCCCAGCCCTACTATATTATATTATTTTTCCATCGGAATCCCAGATCGTTCATTCTTCTTTGCCTTTTCTAAAAGTGCTTTATCAGTCCTACCTGTCTTTATCCATGCTCTGTTTGATCTGATGTTTTAAAAAGGATGCAGGGAAAGCAGAATACCATTAGCCTCTCTGCATGCTTTCAGCCAAGCCTTGTAGCTAAACCAGTTCATGGAAAAACCCGAGAGTACTGTCCCATCTGTCTTTGGACTCATGAGAAGGGAAGCGAGCTGAGGATGAGCGCTGGGGACGCAGGTCTCATGCGCCCTGAGCTCTCCTACTCTTTTGCATTGCAGAGGAGCTACTGCCCATGTACAGCTTTTAATGAGAGTTAAAGGCCAAACGATACGAAACCAAAGGAAGAACGAGATAGCTTTACTCTTAATAAAGATTCAATATTTATCTTGCACATCCAAAAACAAATTTAATATATTTCGAAATATTTAATTTTATAATTTATTTTTTGTTTTTTTAAACCCACTCAGTAGCCGTCGACCCGTTTTAAAGCGTTTACAAATAATTCTACACTAAATTACACTGATAAAATGTTTACCAATATAGACATGTCAGACATTGTTGGAAGGCTTAGATTCTTCACAATTCAACCACCTAGTTCATTTTATGGACATAGTGAACACCAAAGCAGAATTAACACAGATATAGCAGCATTTCAAAATGTACCATGACAAAGCAGCCACAACAATCAAGCATGTCTTTATAACTGCTGTTCAAAAAAGACCTATTATTTTCGAGAATAAAAAAAAAAACAACAACTTTGAGTCTTGTTTGAACTTATTAACTTGGGCTTGATGAAGCTTGGGTGTTTTACTCACCCATTTTTCATGTATATATTCAGATTCTAGAAGGTTTTAGCTTTCAAATAATGTATCACGCATGTAATTTGGGCTCACAGTTCCTAAGTTATTTGCTTTTCCATTTGGGTATGCAAAATAGGCGAGAATTTCCCAAAATGAGGTGGATATTAAGAGGTTAATCAAGGTCATTGGATGGGTGGGGCAGCGCCCTAGTGCCCTCTATTGACCAACCACCACTGCCTCAAACTATCACACAAAGCACAGCTACCAATATTGTCAAAATACCAACAATCAGCCAACAGTGGTGACAAAACATTGTTTATTTTTATTTTTTTTCATGGGTTCAGTTTTTAAGGATTAAGCACATAAACTATACGAAATTCTTTCAAAATCTCTTTCATTTTTCCCTGATTCTGCAAACAAAGTTTTTTTTCTGTTGAAGAGTAAATTATCCTAATTTGCTGTCAGAAAAGAAAAAAATAATTTTCCTCCAGCATTTCTAAATAACATTTCAACATTTACATGTAGAGCATATGAGTTGTATACCCTTCCAATACATACATACAATACTGTACTGATTTCTTCATTTGTAGTTATTAAACAATTATTAATATATGACATCTGTGACATCTGCTCAAGTGTTTAATACAATGCAACTGATCACCCTTTTGCTGGTTTAAGGACCTTTCCTGTTTTATTTTAGAGCTTTTCAGTTCTAATGATTGATGGGATGTGTCTAGTTTACAATCTAAACTCCTATTAGTGTTACTCCCCTGTTTTACCATCTTTTTCTTCTTATTTTCTATTATCTAAACTGTATTACAGTCACTTGCACACAGACCATCACTAAAGCTGAGTAATCAATTCTTTATGGTCATTGCCTTCATATAACTGAGAGGGGGAAAAAACCCTTTTGAAGGGTATTGGAAACATTTCCCCCTACAGGCACAGAGCTTAATGAACAGCTCCAACCGATAATAATTCACATTCCCAAAGTCTTGCAGTTCGAGTCGAGTGTTAATACTCTCATTCTTTACTTTCTCTTCTAAGGGAGACAACTGCTACTTGTTGTAACTGACAGCTTAAAAAGTCAAAGCTATATATTAGCTCTGAGATCTATACTATCAATCAGAAAAGCCGTGAAGTTTAATTGAGCCCTGCTGCTGGATTTATACTCTAATAATGACAGTCACAAACAGTGTTTGTCTGTTTGCAACTTGAATTTTATAGTTAGTGCAAAAATTTGGAGGTAATCGTAACAAACACATACAGATGTAATCTATTATCGTGGTACGTTGAATATTTTTTGTGTGAATTTAAACATATTAATCCTAGTTTTTTTTATTTTGCTGTTATGTCATTATCTTCCATTTTTGTGAGGCTAACCACACTTTTTCCTCTATCAGAAACAGCATTGCTGCATCTGCAGTGTGTGCCTTCAATCTCAGTGCCATATCCCAAGTTTTTAATGGACCCTTCAAGTACCAGGAAAGTTCACGATCAGCTTGGCTGCCCTACCCAAACCCCAACCCAAACTTTCAGGTAAGGTTATAAACTTTTCTCCCCTTAAGGGATGTTCAGCTACTGTAAGAGATTCTTTGCTTTGCACAACTTTGAAAAATATACTATACTATTTTTACAGAGCCATAAAACCTTGCTGTTAAAGTAACATCCAATGTTGTATTTAGTGCTACTGCTAACAATAGTTAAAATGAAATTATATCTCAATAAGCCCTTGGAATTGAATTTTAGATGTTCTGTTGATACCTATCCTAAAAATGGTAAATATTTAGTCTAAAAAAGGTGAAAGAGGCAGGGTAGGAGCTGGAAAGAGGGGAGTGTGGGCATTAGACTCCCCTGAAATTTGTTTGGTTCCTCCAGGTGCTTCTCCAGATGACTGACATGTCCCAGCAACAAATTCATCCTGTGCAGTAGTTAAAGCTCTGCAGACAAAGAGTGTAAAAAAAAAAAAAATTGGTGTAAAATTTTACAGAAATACAGTAGAAGTAAAAAGTACCTCATTAAAATGGAACTTTAAAGGCAAAACAGACGAGCTGCTGTCAGCTGGTCGTCCCGCGTACCAGTCTCTGAGCCATCCTCACCTACAGTCATTCTCCGTGCTCATTTGTTGCTAGTTTGCTCTCGCTCTGCATGTAAACATTTACTGTTTAGATTACCAGTGAGCTTCAGTTTTAGCCATTGATTTTATGTAGCTCAACTGCTCTCAAGGAGTATTTGGAAATGGCTACAAGCAAGAAGTAAACTCTTACAAGTTTATGAGAAAAAGAGGAAAGCCTCACAAGATAAAAGTTCTTCCAAATACAATGTGGTTTAATTTCAGTCAGTGTTTCAGTGTGAAAGCACTGATAGTTCACACTGAGGAGTGGAGGAGTTGAGGAGCACGTAACGTGGTCTTGGTGTGTGCAGTTAATCCAAAAGTTGCCTAGGCATTTCCTAACTACATTTGCAGACACCTGTAAATAAAAGTTCATGTGTTAATTTTTAAACAAAAAAAAAGGCATAGATATTTTTTTGAGAGACAAACATTTCTCAGTTTGGAAAGAAAAAAGAAAATGCAGCACAAAAATAACCATGTTAACAAGTTTACTTACAAGACACTAATTCTAGTAAAGAACCATTTCCACTTGTAAAGTGGAAATTACCAGGACATTGTGTTCACGTGCTTTCATTGTGGTAGAGAAGAGAAGCATGCTGGATGCAAAGATTATCCTGACCTGCTAGTTTGGCAAGACAGTAATAGACTTCCTAATTAGTCTGCTACATGAAGAAGATGATTCATCAAATGCATCGACTTACTGCTGATAAAATCAAGCAATAACAGTCATTTTTAAAAAATGACCCAAGTTTAAATGGTGATATATTTCTGAAAAGTCACAGTGTGGGCTACAAACACAACAGGAGAAACGCTTAACGATGCAGTATTCACAATACAGAATACTGTAGTTTATCTTCTTTCCGCCATGTTGAAAATTCAAAGTTTATCGCATCTCGTTAACTCAGGTACAATAGAATTTTCCCAGCTTTTAAGTGGAAATTATGACATGTGAGTGGGTGTTCATGTGCAATTTTCATGTCGGCTTTTGGTATTTACCATTAATGATGCCACATGAAGGCATCATTAATGATGCCATCTTGTCCTGTTTTTGATTTTTGGAGGGTTTTTTGGACTTGTTTGTATGTTATTCCTTTACTTTATACCTCAATAAGGAAAAAAACGCCGGCCCCTCCCTGCCCCCCTGGTAAATTTGGTCTAATTGCCGCTGCCTGCTAGTTCTAATCTTCATCCCTTGCTTTTTCCAATATCCACTATCACTCCTAGCTAAAAAGAGACTCCAAACTGAGATCTTAATCCTCTGTTTTGAGCAGCATAAACTCTAATCACAACCAACAGAAAAAAGACTGACATTAGTTACATTTATTTGCTAATAGCATGTTTATAAGGTCATGGATGTATGAATCAGATACTGTCCACTTATTGACTGCTACATGCAGTAATTAAATATGCATTTTGTTCATGCTTAAATGCTAGTTTTAGTTTAAGATTACTTGCAGTGACATTAAGACAAAAAGACATTAGCATGTCTTTCACCACTGTAATGAAAATTCAATGTTTCTTACAAAACTTTAAATTGCTTTTTACTTACAGTGTACGTCCACTTGCTTTTGTGGGCTCATTCTAAAGTTTGTCTATGCAGACAGTGAAATCTCTTTTTGCAAACCATATTTATATTGCAAAACAACTTTACAGACCAGTTTAACTAAGTAAAAATAAAAGTTTTTGTTAACCCACCAGAGGCCGACTGATGCCTCTATCCATGTTAGGATCTGATTACTAATCCCACTTAATTTTCACTTAGTTATTATTACCACTCAATAAGAAATATACTTTAGATGTAACTGGGTGAAAACTTCTATTACATACCCAAATCAAGTAAAAGTTCACCTATTGTCAACTACTTTTAAAGAGTACAATAAAACTGTATTTAATCACAGTAATGTGAGTAAATGTAACTAGTTACTTTCAACTCCTGGTGCTATGTAACACAGAGTTATAATCAACCTAACTAAAGGACTACGGTACCTATAAGTGATCAAAGAGAAAGAGTATCATCAATCAAATATTGAAGAAAGAGAGCAGAGAAGGTAAGCTAAGAGAAGAAGGCAAGTAAGACAACTTTATACAGCATATTTCAGAAGAAAAATAGTTCAAACTGCTGTACATGGGTATTAGAAGCAGAAAAGTAAAATGGTTTATAGGATCAAAAAGACAGTAGGAGTTGAAGGAGCAGGAGAGAAGAAAGATTAATAAAAGGATCATATTTAAACTCGGATGACCTAATTCTTCACTTTTACTAAACTATAATAAAGGAAATTGTGACGACTATGAGGAGAATAAAACAATAGAAATGTTATATACTTATGGTGTAAAGGATAATGGTCTGGACTTGTTTATCTCTTTATCAATTTGAAGGACTCCATGGCACTCCACATTACAATCAGTCATTTATCTATTCATTCACTAGCTGATATAAGCAGTGTAGTGTTTCATATTTTGTTTTTTGATACATTGTTATTATTAATTATTACAACTGCAAAAAAAAACTGACATATACCTAAATGTATTTAATCTATTATTTTAAAATTTAAATTGCAAATGATTGTTGAGAACAAAAAAAAAAATCATTGCCTTTCCAAACCCAACTGTTTAAGTACACTTACCAAAAAATATTGTTTTCATTTTGGAAGTACAGTGAAAATATATTATTAATATGATTTCTCAGTCTTTAACAAACATAAATACATTGTATTTTCGGCATACATTAATATCATTACTACAATGTCACAGCTGAAAAAATTAGCAATTTTGTTTTTCATATTGAATAAAACATTCAGTTTTACCTTTCTAGTATTTGTGCACGTTTTGTTTTTACATTTGTAAAAGTTTTAAGTAAAATATGTTGGACGTTAATGGATAGACAACCAACACCAAAAAGGTTAATATAAGTTTCATGTGTACTTTCAGTTTTTAGTAGTGATTTTCTTTATTTTTATATGATTTTGCATTTCTGCACAAAGTGAAAAGCACTCTTTGTATTACAAGGAAATAAATCCTCCCTCTTGAGATCTGTATTTAAACACCAAGTTAGCGATATTACAGTGTGAATCAGAATACTGAACCAAAGACAACTACAGTACATACTCACATTTGATGTGATTGGAATAAATACACAATCAATCTTTCAGAAGAGGCATTTTTTGCTCACATAATGATGAAAAAGTGTTGTTCACTCATTCACCTCAGAGGAAGCTCTTCATATAACATCTAATTTTCAATTAAGAATCTCCTCTCTCAAGATTGCACACATTATGCCTGCTCATTATAAACTCTTGTATAGGTCATTCATTCCTTGAAGATATGTATTGGAGTTGTCGTTCTTAATAAACTTGACTTATTTTGCATAGGCAAGATTTTATGTTTTTGTTGCATACTAAAACCCCAAGGGGTTTGGTGAAGCCTCTTATTATCCTTTTAGGTGGCAGTGATGATGCAAAGGAAATGCATTTTTGGCAGACAATTGGCACTCGGTTTTTTGCCGGCTTAGCAGAAAGTGGCGAAGCTAATCCACCTAGTTCTCTGTGAGGAATCGAATTTGCTGTTAGGGTTTCCACCAGTGGGTGATACTTGCATCACAGGCATGTGCCATGATAAGTTTTCATCATGTTGCCGCCAAGCCAAAACATGCAAGAGATGCTTAATGATGGTATGCTTAATATGTACATGCCAACTCACCAATAAAGCTGTTACATTAAACACAATTATCTGCCAGCATGCATTCACTTTTCTGCCTGTCAGCAGCTAAATATTTTAGCTATAATTATCAATAATTATTTTTTTTTTCTTATCTGCTCTTCAATGTGCTACAGAAATATCACTGGGGAGGATTTTGTCCTTCGCAATAATTTTCTCTGTGTCTCAGGCATACAGGTGTATCTGTTTCACACCTCTTCCCCTATCTTCTCAAATTAAGCTTGGGTACAATGGTTGCACCTTGCTGATGGAGTAAGGCTCACTTTATCTAGTTTTCAGTGACATCTTCATCAAGTATTTGTCAATGTTGGGGGAAAAGATTTACAACCACAAGATTTATAGCTCCTCTTCAAGCTAGGATACACACACACATGCACACAGGCATGTTGTGTTTCCATGTTTTATGGGGACTTTTCACTACCGGGTAACTTACATTCATTTCTATATCCTAACCCAAACCTATTACCCTAACCATTACCAACATATTCCCTACACTACCTAAGTTAAGATACGGTAAACGTAACCTTAACCTAAAGTTAATTCACACCATATTTTAAACTGTCTACCTAACATTAAGAATTGGGGTTCACCACATTAGGACCAGGCTTTGGTCCCCATAAAGTCAGTTGGTCCTTAAAAGGTTAGTAAATATACTGAAAATTGTTCTAACTAGGTAACATATACAAGTACAGACACACTCATTGATTAAGAGGATAACTCTGAGTCTCTGGAAATCCCTCCACTCAATTGAGCCACCATGGTTTGTTCAGACAATGAGTCATGTTCACTGGGCATTAAAGTCAAATACCACCTACTGCACAGAATGTATTGTATTGGTTTTATGTCATTCTATAACAGATTTTTGTAGAATATAGTCTTTGTTCATCCATGCAAACAGGACCATCTGTTAAGTTTGACTAACAGCCAAAAGCAAATAATTTTTTGTCATTTGAATTAATTAGACCAGCAGTTTTCATGCTATTCTATTCACACTGAGGTAATGTTATACAATGCCTGAGATAAGTGTTCAGAATCTTTTTTTATGTTTTGTCACTTTACAAGCAAAATCTTAACGTACGTTATAGGATAGACTAAGACAAAGCAGAGTTAAAACTGGAAGGAAAATCATACATGGATGCAGCTTTTTTGCAAAATAGAAATCAAAAGAACTCTTGTGCCCTGTTCATTTCCTTCTTCTTTACCCCTGAATAAAATCAAATAGAACCAGTTTCCAATAGTGCCTTCTGGCTGGTCTAGATGAAATAAAGAACTAAGATGAGAAATTAAGAGAAAGGTAGGAATTTAAGATGTTTATTTTACACCATGTTTTTCATCCTCTCTTTTAAAACTAATTAAAACGTGGTTATAGAACGTTTGAGCCACCATAACAAAGACAGTTTTTCTTACTAAAAATTACTCAAACTTCCTTTGCCACTGAGAAAAAAAATAGACAAACCTATAATTAACTTAACCAAGACACAGAGGAAAACTGAATTAAACAAGATTGTAATTAACCCCCTTCCAGCCACTCTCATCAAAAATGTTAATTTACTTAACAATATGCCTGAATATGTATTTTTGGAAGAGAGGCAAGAAGAAATTGTTGAAAACTTTGAGAAATGAACCATATAAGTCCATCTAAATGTACCGCCCCAAGCATGCAATATGGTGCTTAATTGGTGTTACGTTTCCAACTGGGGACAGGGAGGCTAGCAGAGGTGGTGAGAAAATAGATAGAGCTGAATTAAACCCTGATAGAGGCTGCAAAAAACTTCTGACTTAAATGGAAGTAAATTTTAAGCAGGAAAAATACCTCTAAAAAAACAGCTCGAGGTGTCTTAGGCTATACCCTAAAATCCCAAATAAAACATCTGGAGGTTTGTTTGAAGGTTTGCAGCCAAGTGTTAAACAGTTACTCATAAAGCTCAGGGTCAAAAATATCATGCCATGATACAAGGAAGATGTTTTGAACACGTGTCCATTTTACAAAAACATGCTGTAAAGCAACTGTGCATCTGAGTGTCACTTATGTCATCCTGGCAGAGCACTTTGGCCTGATGATGAAAGGGGCAGACAGCTGAGTGTTGGATGGGCCCTCGGCCAAATGATGTTTGTGTCCCTCACCTTGACTTTGCTTGTAACATTAATTTTACAGAGCATCCACATATGTAATAGAGCCTCAGAGGCCAGAGTCAGATACCTTCTCATTTTCTGGTGGAAAATCCAGTCATCCACATCCTTTAACATCCATGCAAACAACACTAAAGAAGACTACAAAAGAAAACTTTAGAAGTGCAGTATTGAACATTCGACTTATTGTTCATCACCTGAGGCTGTTTACTTGAGACACTAGAAACGTGGTGGATGTCCGACTGAATGAGGGTTGCAATTTCCCACCTCCTGATTTTGCTTGAACACTGATCTGATCACTGGCCTGGGAAATCCCTTCCTGTTTGACATCTGCCTGATAAAGGTCAAGTGGTAACCTGTATAAGATGTCCTTAATGCTACGTTTAAAGGTTTTATGCCGGGAAGGAATCATCTGCCAGGGTCCAGTTTCTGCAAAGAAATGGAGGTGCATCTGAAACCCTGAAGCAGATGCACAATCAAATACCATCATTAAAACAGCAGGCAGCAGCTTTAGATCTGTTGGCTTTGTCCTATATTTTTTCCATCCCAGCTTCAATAGGAAAGAGTTCAAAACAGATAAATCATAATACGAAATACATCTATTATTTAATTTGGGGATATTTACACTACAAACTACATAAAGCATTTCATGAAAATGAAATGGAAAGACAGCTATTTAAAAAATGTCTTTTATATCTAAATATTAATCTAAAAGTGTTGCGTTTAACTATATTAACCATCCTGGCATCAACTCTTTTCCTGGAAAATGCTGCAAATCTTGTGGTGTATGACTCTGTGGACTTTACTCCTACAGAGAGAAAATTATTGTAAATATTACTTGCAAAATTGAGATGAAAATGATCTGTGAACAGTATTTTTTAAGTCTTGCCACAGGTTCTAGTTTGAACGTCGTCCTGGGCATTGACTGGGCCATGAATAGGTAGACCCTTTAGTTGTAGCTAATTGTTTGGTAAAAGTAATACTCAATTCCACCTTTAGCAGATTTTCTTCTTGCATTACCCTTTATTTAGCTCTATCAATATTCCCATCAAACCTTACCAGGATCCCCATTACTGTCATACCATTATGTTGCAGAATGGAAAAATAACCATGCGGCATGAGTATTCTGACGCATATTACATTTTGTATGTCTCTTACATGGGCAGTAAAAAACTGCAAACTGCTTAGGCCGACTTTGTTAAGAGAGTATGAATTAGTTGAAGAGTGTCCCAATGGTCATCTTTGTTGCTTCTCTGTATATTTTCCGTCTTTCCAGTCCTTTCCATTTATGGATTATAGACTAAACTAAAAATATCACTAAGCATAACAATAAAAAGCCCTCATTGTTAATATCTAATAACATTAAAACAGAGCAAGTTTATGGTTGTAATGTGACCAAATGTGCAAAGGCTAATGGGATATCAATACGTTGGCAGAGCATTTGGTTTAAGCAGTATTTTGAGAACAGTATGAATAGATAAATCTGAGAAACACATAATTTAAACCAACGTTATTTTATTTTGTGACTTGTGTACATAATCCAGTGCCCCTGAAAAAAGTTAATCTCCGGTAAAAAGACTTTTTACATATCTTGCGCTTGTTAGCTTTTAGTGCGTTATTATTCCTACAGTTGGTCAAGGCAATAAAACCTTGCTTTGAAGCTATTACAAATTAAATGTCAGTCTTTAAAAGTAACTGAACATAATCATTAACTTCTTTGTGAAGCAGGGCTATGAAATGAGTAATGAGCTCTACTTTGATTCCTTTTTAAAACTCTATATCAGAGAGTACTGAAATAAAATAGAAATAAAACATTGAAAGTGTCTAAAATATTAAGTATACCAAATTGTAACTTTGTGACATGAATCTTGCTTTATTTCAATTCAAATTAATACTTTTTTGTAGGGTGACATAATATAATCAGAAACATTTAATCATACTTAGACATGTGACTACAGATTTTTTGCATCTGCTAGTGAAGGTTTTTTTCATGCCTTTAATGGTTACATACTGAAAATGAAAACCATGAAGTCGCAAAAGCCTTTGAAAAGTTAATATTTTTAAGCTGAGAAATGACACAATCAGGAAATATTATTACCCAAGTACCAATAAAGCCTTACAGCAATATGTATGCATATGAGCTAGAAATCTAATAAAAGAGATAACTACCCACTCAGTGAAACATTCCTTCAGTCTCTTTCCATCAACCTCTGTGACTACAAAGCCTTTAGGTCGGAAGGAAAGAAAACCAACTCAAAGAGGCAGCAATCGACCTGAAATCCTTGTTCCTTTAATCATTCAATCCCCCATTTCCGTCTCAGGGTTTATTTCTTAACAAAAAACCTTAAGCTCATTAACCTGCAATCCTTAAAAGCTCAGGCTTTTATCGATATTATGAAGTCTAATTTCCTCTTTTCTCATACTTTTTCTACATCTGCAGTGCGGCACCATCAACTCTGGCTCTTATGTGAACCTAACTCAACGAAACCTGCAGGACGCACAGAAGTTTCTACTGATGCACGAGGTGGTCCAGCCTGTGGTTCCTGTTCCTTATTTCATGGAAGACAATGTCCGCTTCAGTCATATTGCAGTTGATGTGGTGCAAGGGAAAGACACACTTTTCCACATCATTTATTTGGCCACTGGTAAGTAACATAGAACTTTCTGGTAAAAATGTTTCTATAGTAAAAAAAATCAATATGACAAGGTTTTATTATTGGTTAGTATTGGCATGGGTGTTGTGTCACCAAAATTGGGTCACGATATTATATTATCACGATATTGCAATATCACTGTATAATTTTCTTAGCTATCAAAATAGATCAAAAAACAAGTGCAGTATATTTTCATAAGAAGGTATTCATAATTTCATTATTTTGGTATCCATGTTGTTTGGAGTTTGAGTTAGTCCATGTCTTCCACTGTGACTGCCTTAACTACAGATACTGTATGGCACTGCGGTGCACGGCAAAAGCACAGCTATATGCCAGTGGGGCGTTACAGAGGTAGCCAATTTTCCCATATTGTTTTAGGTAAATTGTTTTGTTTTGTTTAAAGCGATATTAGGAACAGAAAAATCAATATTATATCGGGCACCCAAAAATCACAACATATCGAAAAAATCAATTTTTCTTTTTTTTCCACACTCCTAACTGGCACAGTAATTTATTAATTAATTAATTTATTTATTTATTTTTGCTTTTTTACTATTAAAGATTAGAAATAAAACATGTGCATTTTTCTACTTATTGTTCACAGATTCCTGTTTTTTTTTTTTTTAAGTAATTTTCTGAATATTTGATGCACTTCTGATTTTTTGTTTTATTCTCATTGGCAATAAATAAAGGAAATTTACTTTAGAGGGAAGTGTTGGTAAAAACAATTAGAAAAGATCATAGAAGCCAGCTATTTTCTGTGTGGTTTCATCCATTAGCTGTAGTTTAATGTATTAAATTGTTTTTCTTTATACATTTTTGACTTTGTTATGGTTCCTCTGTCAAAAAAATAGAAAATACACTGGTTCTTAAATGTGAAATTGGACATTGTATGCCGTACATATTACAAAAAAAAAAAAAAACTTACTAAATCTGTTTTAATAGTAATAGAAGTTTTGTGGCCCCACACTTCCCCCCCCCAAAAAATAGAATAGAATACAATAGAAAATCGCATTTTTGGCCCATAATGAAGAAATTCTGGTGTTTACAGCAGCAAAAATATTATAGAAAAAAAAAACGGCCACACAAATATGTACCTTAGAAAAATGTTTAAGAATAACATAATATTTAAGAGTTAAAATATAAACAGTAAAATACTGCACTGTAATAGAGTATTTTATACATATTGTAAACATGATTCCTGCTTCTAACAAACAGAAATACCTACAGTAAAATAGTTCATCTAAAAAATAAGAAGCTGGGGAAATAGTTGAAATAATTAGGTTTATTTAGGTAAGTTATTATTATCACAATAAAACACATTGAAGGATGTGTATTTAATGAGTGATGAGACAATATGTGGATGGAAAATCAAGTGTTAAAACCAACAAAACTTTCCTTCGTCTTCCAATGTTTGATTGATTTTTACTTTTATAGCTGTAGCTACAGTATAAGGAGCTTGAAGCCCTTGAGAAGCATTCAGCACATGAAAAACGTGACCTGCAAGAAGGAGAACAATACCAGTCAATCTGTATCATCATCACGAAGACATCAAAGCTTTCACTTTAACATTATGGGTTTTGAGATTCTTTGCCTACACATGTTCCCCATGTGTTCATAATCATTATCCAGTCACTCATATATATATATAGAGGTTTAAACCCAGAACGAGTAAACCGTATTTCACTACAATATGAACCCTCATCAGTATGCATCATAAAACAGCCAACAGGCATTTGTCTAGAGAGAGAGACGAATGAAGGATAAATAACACACATGTTGAGCCATTAAACATTTATTCTGTCCGATGTGTATGTTTGGTACCATCTGCTTTTAGTAGATCGTTTGATCAAGGTGATGCTATCCACTAATGATGTTAGACTTGGCAAAGTGTTGAAAACAGAATCAAAAAGTCTCTAGATACACGTCGTTATTTGATGAGCTGTTGTAAAATCACATTTGGACAGCAAACAAGTGCGCTTAACTCAACTTTAAAGGCAGTGACCCATTTCGTTCGGCTAATGTACCACAAAGGCCCGCTGGGAAATGGCAACATCCTGCTAAAGAGCTAGGATGTTATTTTAGGATATTTTGCATACTGTATGCAGTACAAGCACATGTACAGCGACTCTCACTGTAACACACAACTACACACCCATAAACTCACACACAGTCTGTGTCAGTTCCCTTCATCCCTGCTTGGCATCTCCCGCTAAAACTCCCCTCTCATTGTTTGTACGCTGCCGTGATCAATGCAGCACTGAAACGGAGCTGCCCACACTGCAAGTTCCCCAGACACTAACCAGACGCTAATGAAAACATCTGAACCGCTGCCAGGGCCATTGGCTTGTACCTAATCACACACTGTTATTAACGCCTAAACGCACCCCGCTGATTGAGGCCATTGAGGGAAAACCTAATAGCTCCAGTCGGGAGTACAAAGATGTCGAAGGGCAAGATTCTTTCGAGTAATCATGCAGCTTGCTGAGCAGAATAGTGAAACTGTTCTTCAGCCTCTGTAATAATTCCTGCCTATCAGCAGATTTTTTTTTTTTCTTTTTCAGTGTTGATCTTGATGGATTAAAAGCATCTGAAACATTTACAAAGGTTCATGCCCCAGAAAGAAAATTGTTACTAACTATAGTAGCATATACCTCTTTTTAATAGCAGTTAACTCAACAGGAAAATTTGGCACATCATAGATTTAATGCATGAAAAAGGTCTGAAAGGCTCCACATGCAGACAGAAAACTGCGCACTGCAGCACTTTAATACCTCCTTAATTAGAAAATAGGACATTATGTGATATTTTAAGCTTCCAAGAAGGCCATTTTATTCCACTGTACAAAAAAAAGCTGCTAAAAAAATGTATCAATATACCATGTAATTGTTATACCAAAACGAAAAAAATCTGTAGGACTGAGGAGTAATAAATACCTTAACTGCAGTTTTTTATACAGCTTTGCAAAAATATTTCATGCTGAATGAGGGTAAATGTAGGCCATGATTTAGCACATTTTAATGTTTAAATCAGGTTCTCACACTTCACCCCCATTTAAGGTTTTCCATGATGATACCACCACAAACTAGAGAGTAATATCTATGGGGGTTTGTGTGATAAATAAACGTTGTATCATAGAAAGCATTGTGAGGCAATGAAAAATGATGCAGGGTTTGCAGCTTTGTTCTTTCAAAGACATAAATTCGCTCTAACCTAAACCTTTTCAGGATAGCTCAGCTCTGGTCCAATGGATTCTGTCCTCCCTCTATTTTACCTCAGCGTAAAATCATTTGTAGCCAGAGAGAAAATTTCTAGTTTCTCAGTCTTATTGTAAACCCCTGCCCCTGTTCTATATAGGCATCATTATGGTATGTTGCTACCACCACTATGTTTTTTGGTGGTTGGTATTATATTCTGTGTAAAGTGCAGAATCTGCCTTGTGTTGAACTGTCAAATCAAATACCAAAAGACATAAGTTTGTAGTTACATTATAATATGGCAAAATCTGATAAAGATCAAAGGGTACGAGTACTTTGACAAAGAAATGTAAATCTAGTTTTCATTCTGAAAGGTGCAAGGCCCTCATTTTACATACTGTATTGCATGAAGTGCAGCAGCATTACTGACCACAATGGACCACTCCTGGAGGCAAAACTGAACTTTTTCTGCCTTTAAGTTACCTATTAGCATTTAGCCCTTCATCTTTTTCCAGATCCACTGTACACCTAATTACCTTTGGCTTGCCCAGGGGACTGCATGTATAATGGATTATGTTTGTTTTAGTCCTCCCAAAAGAAAATTTTCCTCAAAGTGGGTCTCACTGGGCCTGCCTTAAACAAAATTAAAGGTCAGAAAGTACTCACGGTGACACAGATTTCCACACTTTTCTCTCTCTTTTACAACTACAAAGCATTTTTGTACCGTAGAATATTCCCTCACGGAGAAGTAGGCCAAAATTCATGCATTCAGGTGTCTCATCAGCTCTCTTGTTACGTCTACAGCGCTGCATATTGATGCTTTAACAGGGCTTTGCACATCCAGCCCCATTTTTCTTTTAATTCCTTGTTTCACAGCCTCTTTTACAAGAAGCATTTGTTCTTTAGTTCACAGAGTGTTGAGTGTAGTTTTTGTAAATTCAGCATATATTATTTGTTTGGTTTTTCACATCTATCCTTTTTCCTTTTGCTCTTTTCCTCATTACTTTACCTTTTCTCTAGTGAATTATTTGCCCCTTTTGTGACATAATCCTCTCTTCCCCCTACTTTCTCTTCCAGATTATGGCACTATCAGAAAAGTGCTGTCTCCTCTCAACCAGTCCACAGGGAGCTGCCTATTGGAAGAGATCGAGTTGTTCCCGCCCAGGAAGAGGCAGCCGATACGGAGCTTGCTGATCCTGCACAGCCGCAGCGAGCTTTACGTGGGCTTTAGGGACCAGGTCATCAAGATCCCTCTGAAGAGGTGTAGCTACCACAAGAGCAGAGAGTGAGTCTGTGCACAAAGCAGACATTATAAATCTTAATAGAAAGCTGGCAAAGGCAGATGTGCAAACAACAAAAATTATCCTTTTTTTGTTTGTTTTCATAAGATGCTCTTTATCAGAGAGAACCAGGACTTTGCTGAAGTTTAAATCCACCAAATGAGCTTTGTCTGATACGCTGAAGGTGCTTGTTGCTGCCCTCTAACTGCCTCCCTTACTGACTGACTGACACAACCACATACTTACTTTACTTTCTGTTCTTTTGTGTGCTTCATCCTATGCTCACCGTTGATTTTTTCTTTGTTTTTAGTTTTATCAGATTATTCTGGTTTCTCTTGTGTTCAGAAGGCACTCCATCTCTGAGCTAGAGGTGGGTGTTAAAAAGTCAAGATCTGAATCCCATCTATCATTGCACAGAGAATTGCACCTTCATTTTTCTTGCGGTTTACCCATCGAGCTGTTACTATTGCACATTGAGCCTTAATGCCTCATTTTACTATGCTGTTGCTCTGTAAAACAGGCCTGCAGCCTCTTTATCAATCTTCATTCTTTCTCTTTTTACACGAAGGTTGAAATAGTCTGAAAAGGCAAAGAAGATCAAAGAAAAGAAACCACAGCAAGGACATACTTTTGTCGCCATTAGATGAGCATAATTATTGATATTACATTTATGGGCACCTCTGTAATGCTTAAAAAAAAAAAAAAAAGGCATTTTTGTAGTTCTTATGTATGGATGGATAAAATAGAAGACCTCGGGCAGCTTTTGAAAATTTGCACTGACATCCTTGCTTCAGTTCTCTCTTTTCACATTAAGCATTAACATTACCTTGTCTTTATAGATACAGAAGGCACATTGTGTGTTTTTTTTCGATGAAAAGGTATTAAACAGTGTGAGTCTCTTTTCCCTTATTTAATGGTTCAACTATGTAATTGAATTCATTTGGATGATTGTGGCTAACCCCTAATGAATACCCAAAAATTGAGATTCCCTAAAAAATTAAAACTAACTTATAATGGATTTCTAATCAAGAAACATCAGCCTTAGGAAAAGCATGTCCATGTGTTGGAGGTTATTTTCCATGAATTACCGCATTACTGCAGCATACTGTATTATTGAATAAATCTGCTATTGGACCTGGTAGAGGAAGGTATAAAAAAGGTCTTCCTGCTTCCTCTTCAGATGCTCATATGGGTTGTGGTTAAAGCTAGTTTAGGTTAAGTGATACTACGGTCTTTCACAAGGTACTTTTTGTACCTTCAGGAAGTTGAGTTTAAATGGGAAAAAAAGCATCATTTCAATACACTTTGTTTGCAAGGGTAGTATGAGATGATTTCAAATATGTTAATAGATGCTATTGCTGGCTCGAAACAGTTAAGCATACAGATCAGATGGCTACCAAAAGCCATCACTAACTCTGAAAACTTCAAATACTTTTTTTTTTTTTTTCTTAGACCACTTGTCACTAAACAAGACAGAAGGACCCAGTATTTAAGGCGAGACAGACTCAGGGATAATTTAAAAAGTGTTTATTTGAAATAACAAAAGCCGGCTGTGGATCTGCAATATCAGCGGCTAGGGCGGGGCAACGTCCATCACTGGAGACTCTTGTTGGTTGAAAAACACAGATTAGTGAACATAATAATCTGACGGAGGGTGATCATCCATATGAGTCACTAACATGGTTTAACAGTTCAGTCCTTCTCTATAGAACAAAGTACAGTAGGATCCAGCCAGTGGACTGCCAGCGAGATGCAGCAGGCGCCACCCATAGTGTCCCAGATGCTGCAGTCCAGGAGAACATGCAAGAGTCCAAGCGAGGTCATGGATAGAGATCAGAACAGGAACAGGCTGGTTCAGGGTTCCAGGAGTCCACAGATGGTTCAGGCAGAACGTTCGGATGGGAACAGGCAAGCTCAGTGGTTTAAAGGCAGAACAGGTCAGGATATCAGGAACACTATGCAACGCTAAAAACCGCTCTCCCTACTGGCCCCCTAGAACTACTGTAGTACTAGAACAGCATTAGCATCAATAATCTGGCCACAATGGCAGGGACTGAGCTGTATACATAGAAGCAGCAGCAGGTAGATAAGATGATCAGTAATAGGAAACTGGGCAGAGTTAGGCAGGTGCATGAAATGAGCAATTAGGCCAGCCATCAGAGCCAACATCATGACACCACTGATCACAATTCCCCAAATAAGAAACATTTGCTGTTTCTTATGGTGCAGTAATTGTTTACCAAAAAGAATATCACTGTATTTCATGTGTTGGAGACATGTCTGTGTGGTGGAACTTGTTAATCTCTTTTAAAGTAGAGATGTAATGATCTGATACCTGGATCAGATATCGATGATTTGATTTCAGATATAAGAGATCTTTGTTACTTCTTTCTTTTTGCTGCTTATTTGTTAAGAAATAAGTACATTAATATCTGTGTTCATTTGTTACTTTTTTATTAACAATGTTTATGTCAAGGCCAGAGCGTTCGCTCACATGGCAAGATTTATGGTTCATTCATTCAACAACTCTATAGGATCAGTATTAGATATCAGCCGATATGCTCAGCCCATGTATTGGTATCACATTGGATCGGAAATAACAGGATGTTAAATGTTAAAGTCTTGAATAGGTTAGTTCAAAATCCTTCCAAGGTTGTGGTCATCGTTTTTGCTTCTGGACGTTTTCTACATTTATTCCTTTTACTCAGTTTTCCAATAGTAAACTTTGATAAATCACTATAAACAATCAACATCTTAAGCATAACCTTTATGGCTTAGCCTACCTGCAGTGTGAATGACTGCTGAAAAGCCTGTCCTTTAATTTTGTTGGAAACAATATGTATAAAACATTTATTTTTTAAACATAATTTTTGCTGGTGCTTCGTGCTACTTAATTTTCCTTTTTTTTAAGAAACCAAAAAAAAAAAAAATAATAATAATTGCTTGATAAAATTGCTTTTTTTCCTCAATTTTCTATTCTAAAAGTATAATACCTAAACAATATAATTGAGACACTTTTTTTACATGACTTTATGTGAGTTTTGGGTTATACCAATTAAATTAATCCCCTTTGTGATAATAATCGTTTGTTTAGATGTTGCTGTATTAGAATGATGCCTTTTTTAATGGTTGTATTTTCTTGGATGACAAATCACCAGTCCCTCGGAAAAACACGTTTTGTCTTTTGCATCGCTTCTCACTTACTCAGCTGTTGTCATCCCTGACTTTGGCATGACAAGAGCTGGCCTGCAACACAGCTTTACCCACAAAATTAATTCACCAACAGGGAATTAACAGATTTCTTTTTTTATACATTTCACAGGGATAGATGCTAAAGCTTATAGATCACATGTCCATACTTTAGTGATGCGGTTTCTGTCTGTGTTCTGTCTTGTTGTTATGAAACTTTGCGAATAAAACAGAAAAAAAAATTTTCCACCAGCGGCAATGTCATTCAAAATGATGCATGCAGCCCAAAGATATTTCACTGCTCTGTCACTGCAGCCTTGTATGTATTTATATGAAAATAGTTATATCAAGGGTTTCTTAGCATTCAATAAACCATCTGCTGTGGTTATTCAAAAGACATACAGTATGCAGCTGTGTTACTGAAATATCCTCAGTTTAGATAATATTTGCGCTGATGTCGAAAATTCAGTCAGCATACTGAATTAAGTAAAGTTAAAGTTCCACGATGCTAATGCATGTTCTGCATTCAGAGACAATTGTTTTAATATTGCTTTCCTTTGTTATTTTACAGTCTTTATTATGTCCTTTTTCTCTTTCCCACAGCAATTTCTTTTATATATTTCGCCATCATCCTGTCTTTGCTGGATCTTATGTTTTAATAGATATCGAACCTACTACTTATATCCTTTATCCGTATTCTTCTTATACAAATGGTATAAGAAGAATGGTTGATTTTATACCATTTTTTAAAATGCAGATATCTGAGTTTGAAAGAACGGACTCACAAACCCCCTCTAATCAGGACATTTGTATTCCCACCCTTTAGAGCATGTGTAGGAGCCAGGGACCCATACTGTGGATGGGATTTGTTGCTGAAAAAATGCACCACTCTGGAAAAAAGTGTCAGAATGAGCCAGTGGGAGCAGAGCATCACAAAATGTCCGGTAAGTATAAATAAAACTCTTCATAATTTCCCATAATTTTGCATTAATCCAAATTGAAACATCAGCATATTTGCAGACTAGTCCTTCAGGGCAAATCAAAGATGGGTTACACATCAGTATCTACTGTAACTGCTCTCTGTTTTCTGCATTGATGTCCTGTTCTGCAGTAAAAACAGCTTTGCGACAGCTATTCTGTTTCTCAAAACTAAACACATTTCCAAGCCATCTTCTTTTATATATAAAGCCCGAGGCACTGCGCTGGACATGAGCCAGATCTGTTATTGAAATGACTGATGAGCCGCCAGCAGATTGATCAGCTGATAACTGATCTGTACAAAGAAGGTAGCTTCTTAAGTTGGAATGGTGTAAAGAGCGAAGGCAAAAAATATTTATAGAATAAAGGCAATCTGCCATATTTACTAGCAGACAAAACCAATTACCGTATTCATAGGTCACTCCTGTGCTCCATACCATGGGTCAGGTTTGCACCATCGAGTCAGTCTTTTTTTTTTTGTAATCAACCTGTTGCGCTTCTCTTGCTGCAGAATTGATTCATATTAGACAATCAGATTCACACGTTATTAATACTGACGCCTGTCACAGTTGACAAGAGAGACAGGATGTGAGTGAATGGAAAACCCATACCTAGGTATCTGTCAGATATACATAAATACCATATAGAAACTTCTTCTTTGTAGCATGACCCAAAGATGCATACTGTATAAATAATTTTGTTTTTATTTTAGACATTAGCTAAGCTCCTCGTTTGAAATTCAGGAATATGTATGTATTAATATCAATCTGCCCTATTTATTAGGAGGCAAAATCTATTATTCATAAGTCACTTCAGTCTCTGCTCCCCTTCAGTGGGTTGCATTTTATTTTAAATAAACTTTTTTCTCCTGTCTTGCTGCAGCAGTGATTGATATTGCACAGACGATCAAATGAACAAGTTCATCACACTGATATGCATCTTTGTATTACAGATAAGCAACAGATGCACACTTTTGCCACATCGCATCCGCAAACTCAACTGCAGAAAACACAGCACTTAGCCTTGTGTACATTGTAGAAAGTATACCTGTCGGAAATGAAAGAAGGTCACCTTGGGTTAGTGGAAACTGCTAAATGGGACAAATGGGACTTTTCCTCAGCTCAGAAACTATGTTCCATATGAGATGTGGTTGTTGAACTGGTTCAACCTATCATTATATCACTGCAAAAAGATATAATGAAGAAACATCATTGGAATATGCTCATGGTCTGATGCTCATTTGTTTCAGTCTTTCTCCAATATAATGTACTGGGGATGGTTGCATTAGAGGATGTTTGCATTACAATAGTGACCGCAACATTCAGAAGGGGTGACAACATGCAGAAGTATGCAGGAGCATCCAACAGTGAGTGGGTGGCGCCTTTATCTTTGCCAGATGGAGGGAGAAACTTAAAATCCTCGTACTTCTAGTGTTAATTAATCGTTTAAATGATACATAACTTTTTTCATTAGCAGTTTCTTTAAATTCTTTAGCTTTTACTGGCCAACTCTAAAAGTACAATTCCATTAATGCAAGGGTTTCCACTGTCCTGCTTGTTTTAGATGTTGTGCAAAACTGAATACAAATACATCATTATACAATACAATACATCATCTCTGAATGGCATTAGTCTTGAAAGGCCATTCAGAGATTAAGAAGCAACCGTAATCAGGAACAGGGTCAAGATTAGGTTTTATTGATCTTACAGTATTTGGCGTCCAAATTTGATGAGGTTCTGAATTCTAATAAATAAACACCAGAATTTCTCCATTGTGGGACAATAAAAGGATTTTCTATTATATTATTTTCTGTTCTATTCTAAATATTTCACTTTACGTTTAATGATTGCATATATCATTAAATTTTCATTTCTTAAATGATTGACATAAAATACTAAACTTTTTCATGATATTATATATATTTAGATTAGGGCTGAAACCAGTAATCTGATTTATGATAATTAATTGATTATCTAAATAATGTCAATTAATTCAGTAATGAATTAATTGTTAACTGAAGTATAGTGACTCTAAAAAGTCTAATTTTACCAAAATTGTAAAAAAAAATATATAAATATTTAGCATTTAATACATAAAAAACTTTTTCTTCTGTCAATTTCCTCTATCTAGAACTTCTCAAGTAGATACGTTTTAGTTTCACCTGGTTTAAATCCATAAAAAACTTCTTTAAGGAACCTTTCGCTATAAGATTATTAATTGATTAATTGAAAAAATAATCGACAGATGAATCAATTTGCAAAATAATCATTAGTTGCAGCCCTAATTTAGATACATTTGGTTGTATTCAGCGTTTATGACAGCAATAGTGGAATTATTCACTTTAGTTCTTAAAACTGCTAGAATACAGCAAGAAGGTGCTGGGCTTGAACTATAGGTGTACACACACATATATATATATATATATATATATATATATATATATATATATATATATATATATATATATATATATATATATATATATAGTTCAAGCCAATATAGGCCAAATATACATGAATACTTCATTTTTAGCTCTAAGGTGGTCATATCAGTGTGCTCCGTTATCCTGTGTGTCTTTGTGTTGCTCTATCCAGCCTCTCATCCCATGATTGCTTCAAAAACAGATCAGATCCCTGAAGGATAAGTTGGTACAGACTGGATATAGCATAGCCTTGTTGGTTTTCTGGCTTGAATAAAATATCTGCGAAGAATCTTGCAACAACATTTATTTCTCTTCTTTTGGGGTGATTTTACATTCTGTTACACTTATTTTTATTTGAGTGATACTTGCTATTTCCCTATTGTTGTCTGTCAACCTAATTTACAAGAAAAGCACATTTGTGCTTAAGGTTCTCATTTGACACTCAGCCTCTCAGAAAATAATCATTTGGTAGGAAGGGTAAATAATGTTTGCAGTTATGTGCATAAATAGCCATGTTAAAATAAAGACAGTGAAATAATAAAATGAGCTCAACTCTGTTATTTGCATTGCATCATTTATTATGCTTTTTGGGTTGCCGATATGAATTGCTAGTTGTAATATTTACAGGGGGATTGATACTGTTTATGTTGCCTTCATATTTAAGTATGAAGCAGGTCTCGAAACAATATTTGCCTAGTTTAACATAAACATGAACAGTTTTTGTAACCCAAGTCAGGTCCTCAATCTAAAAACAGCAAGTGTATGCTTAGTAACATTTTATCCATCCATGAACAGAAGAGAAAGAATCAGAACCTATTCCAAACTTTTTCTTCTGTTGCAATTTCAGTTACAAGATGCAGCCAGTTTTAACTGTTTTCTTTTAAAATAAATGAGCTTTTATTGATTATTAGGATGAAAAAATGCTCCACTTATCTGGAACAAACTCTCAGAAGACTGTAAAAGTTCTGAAAGCCTGAGTTCTTTTTTTAAGTCAAGTTAAAAACCCATTTGTTTAAAGCTGCCTTTGAGTGTTGCAGTTTAACAGCTAACTGGGGTATTATTACATTAAGGTTGTGATCCAACAGTTTTATTTTCTTCTCTACCAGCTTTCATCATGTTTTTTTTTTACCTGCTTTTATCCTGCTTTTTTGTGGTTCAATTGTTTTATTTCCTTTACAGATGTTTTTTATTTTTATTCTGCTTTTGTTTTTCTTCTATTTTATTATCTAAAACATGTAAAGCACTTTGGATTGTCCATGTACTGAATTGAGCTTTACAAATAAAATGTCCTTGCCTTTCTTCCAGATGTTAACATGAAATGAAAAATAACAATAAGCAAATTAGTAAAGTTTTGCACATCTTGAACACAATTTTGAAGTTGGCTACAATGGAGCATTACTGTGCCAAAGATCAAGGACATCAGTTGGTGTCAAAGGAGAGACATTTTTAATGCCTGTCAATTTGGGAGGGTTCATAAGGGCTACTTGAAGTCTATCTTTCAACATGGAAAAAGATTATTTGCAGATAGATGGATATTTGAGTTAGTTCATCTTAAGGTCAGCCTGAACTTCAATAAAGCTGCAAAAAAGGAACTGCAACTCAGACTTCATCTGCCTTTTAGTTGGCTAAATGAAAAACCTTTACCATGTTTGCCAGATACATCCTTTAATTGTCTCCCACTAATTCAAGATAACACTGCAGGGATATCCAATCTATCAGCCAAATTCAGATTTCAAAACAAATCCAGGCACATTTCCATGCAAAAATGATAAAGTGTCTCCTGTGTGTTCTGGGGGAAAAAAGGATGTAAATGTCAATCATTTGTCATAACACATAAAAAAATACAATATTGCTGTTTTACTTATAAGCATTAAATCATGAGTTGAAATAGGCCTGCCATACCGCAACTAAAGTCACACAAGAAAAATAAGTTATATATAGTTTACACAACTCAACATAAAACACAAAAGAAAATCACAGTTAATGTTTCACTCTGTATGAGTCCATTAACACTTTGCAAAGACTTTTTAAATGGCCCAGCGTCTGCTTGGCTGTATACTTCTGGAAAGTGGTGGTCTAAAGTTAAAAGCCAGCCAAGATTTTTTAACACTAAGAAGTGTTGTGTAGGCAGAGAGAGTAGATGTGCTTTATCAGTGAATTCACAAGTGCCATCTGGCATTACAGTCTTATATATGTGCAGAAAGGTGCAAATGTTTATTTTACTTTCTTAGATAAAAAGTGAAACAAACTTTAATATTTAGCTTTAGTTGGTTTGGAATGACTTACATATTTTGACTAAGGTACAATGGAAATCTGTTACACATTTTTTTGTTTTTAGTATCTCTACCTCTGCATGTTAAACTTTGTAAAAAAATAAAACACACATGTTTCTCTTAGTATTTGCAATTAATTTCCATTATAATCTAAAAATGCTTCAAATTTAGAGACACCTATCCTCATTATCATTAGAAAAGAAGCCAAAAATCTTGATCTTCATAATAAAAACAATTGTATTTATTTGTTTATTAAAATCCACGTATTTTCGGAAAATACACAACTACCGAGCGTCTTATAGCAGCAGCCTGGGGTGAAACACACAATATTGGCTTTATTTGCTGGCTCTGTGTAGCTGTTAACTTCTTCGGCTGCCCATTGTTGCAGATGTTACGAGCCTCGTCCAAGCGTTACTCATTTAGGCACACGCCAAAATTCAATTACCACTAAGAGCAGAGGCCAGATATTATTATGCTTCTACCAAAGCAGATGATAGTCTTTTGTTGATGTGAAAAGGGCTTTTCTTTTCTTATTTTTTTTTTTTTTTTTGCATTTTAAAAACCATCCTTAAGTCATTCATATTCCTGAATCTCTGTAGTTGGGCTTTTACAACCACGACATCACACTTGTAATTATTTGCCTTTGTAATATCAGGTATTCACAGTTTATGTCTATTTTGCTTAAGATTGCTTATTCATTGATACCCTGTTATGGGTTTTTTTTTGACTGCATATTCAGGGTCTCTTGTAATTTCACTATACCTTGCAGCAGATTCTGTCTTACCCAATGGTTATTGCAGACAACTGTTCAATTTTTGACATGCAGCAGATTATGTGCAATTCTTTTTTTTTGTATGTATTTTAGTAAAAATTATTTTTCTTTCCATCCTCTGGTGAGACAGATCTCCCAGAGAAACATGCTTCTGGAAGCCACACCAATGAAATAGTCAACATCTGAGAGGAAAAAAAAAACATAATAAAAAAAAAAAGCTTCTAAAATGTTTTATTCTCTGTTGTTTTTGTTCCTGACAGGTCCGTAATGTCACGGTCGATGGAGGTTTTGGTGCTTGGTCAGGCTGGTCCGCCTGCACCCACAATGATGGAGGCAGCGCAGGGGCTTGTCTTTGTCGAACGCGGGCCTGCGATAACCCTGCCCCTCAATGTGGTGGCCAGAAGTGCTATGGGATCAGTGTTGAAGTTGCCAACTGCTCCAGGTATATTATTCGAGTTCTAGTTCTCCTCACTATCTTTGAAAACAGATTTCCTGTTTGCTCACATTCAGTCGTCCAGGATCAACACCATATAATTGTGTTAGATTTTCATTATGTTTTTCCGGGTTTTGAGTAATAGGATGGATTTTGGAGATTAATGAATCTTCTTCATTTAAGGTTCAACACTTGAAGTTAAATGCTGATTTTGAAGAATGCTGATTTCAAGTGATTCTGCAGGGTTGATCATCCTAGTCTTTTATTACAGATCTGCAGCTTTTAAGACAACTACAGTAGTAGCCCCTTGATGGGCCCTTGGCTGGTCCCCTAAAATTCCTCTTTAAACATCAATCACAAAGATTAAAATATTCTTTCTGTCATGATTTGTGGACATTAAGATCTAAAGACAGGCGTCATCTCCTGGTCAGACCCTGTAATTCAGTGGAAGGGTGGAGACGGATTAAAAAACTGTGCATGCCCAGGAGAAGGAGGGGGTCACTCCAGAGGGTGGAAGTTGGAGGGGATTTTGCTGGGAATTGGAGGGAAGTGGGCTGCCATGTGGCTGGCATTGGATGGGGAAGGGCCATTTTGAATGGCTGCTACTGTAGCCATTCAACAGGATAAACTGACTAAGGTGTTAAAATTTTTCCTCATAATTATCTGTAAGGTGCTTTGTGTCTCTCAATAACTTAATTAAGGTATGTTAGGATGTATGGATGGATGCGTTAGAGTTCTTTAGCGTTCCATTGTGCGACTGTTGATATTAAACAGTTTCGCTCATTTGAACCCTATTTGATTATCTTGTCAGTTTATAAGGAAGAGTTTGAGTCACAGTTACAGCAAAATATCAAAAAAATAGATTAAAGTTCAGGTATCTCAAAATCTCTGCCTTCAACAACCAGTGTGTGAATTAGGATTCTCATAGAAGCCCAGTCCCTGAAAATGTTAAATAGAGCATTAAAATAGTTAACAATATCAATCTGGCTGTTCAGTGGTCAACATAGGAAAAGGCTGTGAGACTGTTAGACTCACATAAAATTATTCATTATCCTTGTTTTTTGTAACACAGAACTTTGTTATAAATTAGATGTGTTCCCAATAACCAATAAACTGTGCAATTTCTAATTACAAAAAAGACTTTACTGGTTATTTGGTGGCCTTGAAATTATTACATTTCACAAAAAGGGAATGGATATACTTTTTTTGCATCACACCATTCACATGATTAGCAGTAGGAACTCACTGCCTCGTATCCAGAAAAAGGTGAAGGAAGATGGTGCAACATATTTTTGGATTCATGAGGAAAACGAGTATTTTTCGCATTTAGAAGCTTTAGAACCATGGCAATAATATCTCATGTAAGTGTTTACATCCACTGCAGCCATGTTATTTTCAAGAGCTATTGTGTGAACAAACTTGTATTTTATCACTTTTATTTATCTGTGTGGTACTATGTGACATCTTTTTCTGAGATGTATAACTATAGCTTGATTAACACAGGTTTTTTTTTTTTTTTCTCCATTAAATATTCATAGTAAGTTCCAGTTAAGAATCCATTATTTAATGTATGTCTGGCTAGGTTCTGACTGATGTTGTTTTGTTAATCACCACAGAAATGGAGCTTGGACTCCCTGGACCTCCTGGTCGCCTTGCAGCACCAGCTGTGGCATAGGCTTCCAGGTGCGTCAACGCTCGTGCAGTAACCCAACCCCTCGCCATGGTGGTAGAGTGTGTGTAGGACAGAACCGTGAGGAGAGGTAAGAACTATAACTGTGTTCTTATGTGGTAGTGTGCAAAAGTTTTACATCTTGGCAGAAATCTGTTGCTTCATTGAAAGCTGAATTTACCTGTGACCTTTAAGGGTAACAAAGAGCTTTTCATTATAACTTTTCCCCAAAATCACTTTAAAAGAGTAGAAGTAGGATTAGAGCTTTGCAAATAATTGTATTTAAATTTCCAGGTTATGATGAATCCAGGGGGTAAACAAATTTAGTTTCCTGATGTAAAAGAAATACAAATAAAACAGCAATTCTTCTCTTTTTAACCTGCAGTAAGGGATCATTACTTTGGTCACGACTTAGTTTTCCCTATTGGTGCCCTTTTATCTGTTCAACTCTTTGACAGCCACTTAGAGAAGATGCAAGGTGGGATTGTGCCTTGATAATTATCCAGTTTTCAGAGACAAGCAACTTCATAACTCAAAGTTTTAGTGTAGAAGAGTCAGCCTTTTTAAAGATGCTTGTATTTTCAAGTTTCGAAAAAAAGAATGAAGGGGGAAATCAGGTGAAGAAGCAATAAGAGATGTCAACAAAGCAACACCAGTAGAAAAGGTCAGGGCCTTTTTGTTTTTTTTTTCACTTGGTTTGCTCTAGATGTCAAAAAAAAATTTTGTCCACTCTTGGCTGAATTTAAGAACAATTCTAGCAAAAGCTTTAAAGGCGTGTACTGTGTTTAAACAAGCAACATTCCTATTATTTTAGATGACTTTTGAACCCTGTTGCTTTTCTAACACATTTTTCCCCATATTCTTTGTTACTACACAGCAAAAAAAGGAGTGTGTTTTTTTTAGTAATCCTGCAATAAAATAAATGAAGACAGAAAAAGTGCAAATAACTACAGATCTGTGGGTGCAGGCACACCAAAAATATAAATACCAGTGCCGATTTCTCATTGAATACTAGGGAGGCTGAACATCCCTAGTAAATGTATTGGTAAATTTATTGGTAAAATGTGCATTGCTCAACTTCATAAACGTAGTCATTAAACGCCATTAAATATGTGCTAAAAAGCACCTGATTTTATGAGTATGTTTGGCATTAATCAGCTGTTTATTCAGCTCTTGGAAACGATCTCCTCTCCGGTCTGTTTCAGAGAGCAGCAGCTGCCACTGATACAGCACTAGTACTATGGCTGCACACCTTACATTTCATGACATGGTTAATTAGAGGTTTACTTTAACATTTTTCAATTACCTTTTTTTGCCTATATTCCTAATGTGTGTTGTCCAACCTGACTACTTCTTTTCAGACTCACTGTAGATTCAGAAGTAGCAGGCAATTTGGGTAAATCAGTTTGCCCCTACGGACATAAGAATAAAAAACATACACAGAGTGACCGCCACATTCCAGTTACTGATAAAATACAACAGGAGAAAACAGCTGACTGGCTCTAAAAAATGCCGCAGAAGAGAAGCAGATTATAACACCCCCCCCCCGCCTTCAGCCTCCATCATCCTCCCACCCTCCTCCATTCCCTCCTTTTTCTCAGTTTTAATCCGGTTGGTGCCATCTCCAATACTTTGGCTCAGTACTCTTTCTGTTGTTATTTGAAAAAAGTCAGAGTGACTTTAGATGAGTGGGAAATTCTTGACTCCTGTTTACTTTTTTTTTTTAAACAATAAAATCAGTGGACAATTTGCTGTTCAAGTGATAGCCTTTTAGTTTATTTTATTTCTTTTGAATACATATTTTGATGATTTTATCCTAACCAATATCAGTGATATCTAGACAGACATCCTCCACTCCACCCTTACCCAGCTTACAGTGCTGTTCTCCACCTCCATCAGCAAGGCTGAAGAGTATCTTCTCCCCAAAAATGATCAGTGCCACCAACCTTAGGGATCTCCTCATTTCACTCTCCTTCTGGCTGTATACAGTAATGATTGTATTTCAGTGGACCCATCCTGTGATTTTCTAAAGATAGCTCTGTGATTGTTCAGATCCATACCAGATAAAGGACTATATAGACAAGAGGTGGATTGACTGATCTACAAGTCTAATGAAAGCCCACATGGAGGTAAACCCACTTTAGAGAGTGAAAAAAATGCTTTCACTCTGTGACAGGTAGGTGTTAAAGATCCTGGTGTGGATCCCAGTGAGCTCAAGACCCTACCAGGCACTCAGACAGGTCCTGTTGCCTTCCTAGGGTTGACTGCCTTTAGCATACTTCTTACCTGAGGTTCCTTTAGCGTGAGTGTGTGGGTGGTAGAAGTTAGAAGAGCAGGTAACAGATGTGTTGCAGGTCTGTCCGCTTCAAATCTGGATAAAAAGTGGTGTAACCGCTCTGCCACTGAGGCTTCAGCATAGCTGGACCTGGTGACAGTGTTTCCTTTGTAGTTTGTCGGTGTTTGTATTCCCTGCCACACGCTACAGAGATCTTTATGCATCAGGTGATCTTTCACTGTCTTTTTGTAGGGTTGTGGGCTTGCAGGATAAATGAAAGGGATAAGCCATACTGTACATGTGTATTTGTGTGTATAGCTCAGGGTTTTTGTTTGTTTGTTTTTACTTTTTTACAGTGCAGAATGCACATTTGTTTCCCAGCAGAGTACTGTAGTCGACTACTCAGGCTTAGAGGTGCTCATTGTGTTCATCAGCAAGAAAGCCTTTGTGGCAGGTTATTTTTTGCAATTAATGCAGCATAGCACATTGCTTAGGGTTGGAGTCTAAGAAATCTCTGACTATGATGCATAGGTTCAGCAAAGATTTGTCTCCTTTCCAAATCCTTGCATTGGGTGCCACACCATTTTCAAAATTCTTTGTATTTAAACCTGTAAATATTCTGACACCTACATACCTACCTGAGCTGATTCTCTCCTCGAACAACCTACATATCTCTCAGATCAGCTTATCAGCTGTGTACCCACCGTACACAGCAGTGTATTCAGAACCTGGTCTAAGCTCAGAGAGAATGCAAGCATGTAAGTCAAACAGAGGATGTGTAAATAAATATGTGCTTCGATCCCTGCATTCACTAGAAAAACATTTGTTCAGCCTTTGTTATCATGGCCGAAATATTCCACCATATCTGTTATTTGAAGTCAGCCATGTATGTAATCAGGGACAATAACAAGCACAGGGATCAGTCTGCATGTCATGAGGGACTGGCTTTATGTCCGCTTCCCTTAAAAAAAGTTTTTTTTTTCTGTTATGAAAATCTTGTTCTTTCGCCAGTCCCCCTTCAAACACATTCAGGTTGCTCACTTAATACTTGTTTTGAATTGGTGCCTCAAGTTCCCCATTCAGATGTAGACAAACACACAAGCTGTATGTCAATACATGAAGCAGTATACAGACAAAGTCAAATGCAAAAGAATATTGAAGGGGAAAATGTTAAACCTCCTTTTTAAGGCTCTTTGGTCTTTTGCCAAACATGCTTCCGATAAGTTCAGTCCCAATTGTCTGCAGCAGCAAAAACCTTTAAAGTTAGGGCAAATGCTATGAAAGTGAGCACACACAGCAGCTCTGCTGGCTTAAATCTGGATTGTTAATGCCTGCATTTATGAACCTTCTGTTGGCTTTTCCCTCAGCACACTGACAGCGTCCACGCTGCTTACTCAGCCTATACCGGGTAATTAGCCTCGTTTTTCTCTGATCAGCCCTGTGTGTTTAGAGGAGAAGAATAAGTATAAGACAAGATGGAGTGAAGCCACTCACTTGTGTGATTAGTGTGTGTATGAGGATAATTCTGAAGCTTAAGTTAATCTCGGCTGCCTTGATTGCTGATGTTTTTATTGTATTATTGCGGTGCATCCCTGCAGGGATATTTTGACCACATAAAAGCCTTTTATCACAAATGTGATTCTGAGTGTGCATTGGACAGATTTTATTCAACTTGTCCTCACTTTGCCACGTTCTCACTCTGGCATGTATCAACCCACTGACACAGTGAAGATTGGTGGAGCAAAAAGCCACTCAGAAGATTCCCACATTCAGACAGGAAAATATGTCTTGTTTGAGTTGCTATGAATAGTGATGAAGATTTGGGAATACTGCCACAGAAATGTTCAGCTTAACTGAGTCTGAGGAGGAAATGGTGCAGATCTAAAGCTTATTTTGAGCATAAGAATTCAAACTCTCACCACAGCACAAAGAAAGACAGCTATTAAAGCTGTTTTATAGCTGTTGTAAAAGCTGCAAATAAACTAGATGGTTCTAATAAGCCTTGCAAGTTTCTGTTGATAAATTATAATGAAAACTAAGCAATTAAAGTATTTTAGACATTGCTGTAATACTGCCTCGTAAAACAATGTAATTAAAGATGATGCATGTGTCTCCTGGGCGTTTATGAGCCTATGTCAATGAGTTATGCAAACAATCATTTAGACTTGGGATATATTTTTCCTTTTCTGAACTTTTTGAACTATATGGTTATAGCTTTATGCGACAAGCTGAGTCCCTGGTGGTTTAATACATTCATATGCTCAGACATGGACCATGCGTATTCCTGGCTATGAAAGAAGTTTGTTTTTCTTAAAGAGTACTGTTTTTGCAGAATCCTTTTTAAATTCTCAGTCAATTCAAAAGGATTAGTGGGGTAATAACCACATTGTTCTCAAGATTTAATGGTAATTTTAGATTAGGATAATTTTCCAAAAAGAAACAGTCAAATTAACTTGTTGTTTTTGGCTTATCAGATATTGAGTAGTAGAATGAAGATATCCAGCATGAGTTGTCTGACTTTTATCTCTTCTGCCACAACTTTCTAGTCCTGCAATCCTTTAATTAGTTTTTCAGTCCCTATAAAGCAAAAGCTAGAGCTGTGTCTGTATTTTCGACACAAAGTCAAGCTTGTATACAGGTCAGGAAACACTCTATGCCTTGTTGTTGATTTGCTTATTTGTTTTCTTGGATGGGATCCCATGATGTAGTAATGAACAGATGATTCTCTACTTTGATCATCTCGTGGTCTTTTTAATGCAGATGATGAAATTATGTAGCAGCCTACCAGCCAATACTTTTAATGTTCACTGGAGGGGTTTACAAACCAGTGTGAAATGCAAAGGATTAAAGTCCTCCCCTAAGCCTAAGGCAATCCCCATGAGCATTTTCTTAAAATGATGGGAAAAAAAATGTTTCTTTAACAGGGAACTTCTAGAAAATATCTGTTTTGAGTTTGTTTAGATGGGCTCATGAAATCTGACTTAAAATCTCTTGGGTTAGGACTGGCTTACTAAATATGAGACATTTCCAGCACCCTTTTTTCTTGGCTAAATAAAGGGAAGAACGCAGAGCATATACAAAACGAAATATTGTTTCATACAATTTTCATAACATTTCCATTCACTAAAGTGCAGCAGTGGTCAAATGCAAACCGGAGACCAAATGCCGGAGAAGAAAACGGATTGATATGGATTTTCAGAGCATTAAATATATATGGTGCGAATATGCAGAATTTTAGATTGGAGACTACAGTAGTATCTCACATTTAAGAGAAAGCAATTTGCTATGTTATAAATTTGGTGTCAACACACACAGAGTTATACTCTGTCGTGACATTATGTAACAGGAATGTCTACATTGTAGACAATAATAATCAAGTGAAAATGTAAGCAAAAACAGAAAAAAAATGATCTATATAAGCTTGGACTAACAAAAAAGGAATGCATTTTTTTCTTCTGCCGTATTACACCTAAGTGCAATAACATGCAATATCTGTTAGTTGAAATGCACATAAAGCTCTCACAGGTTTGTTTTTTTTTAACTGTTGCACCAGCAACCAGACCATTAAAAGGATTTTTTTTCTTTGTTTGTGCTGTGGAAATCAATGTTCCACATCTATAAGATAGCTCAACAGCTTTGCTTTCACAACATTAGGGTCGTTTCCATAAGGTTCTTCTTGGTACTTAAATATGAAGCTTTATTGAAAATACTGAGTTGAATCATATACAACTGAAATAGAAAGGGAGGTGAAAAAAGAGCTAATGGGAGAGAGACAGAGATGGAGACAGCAAGGTTCACATTAAAAGAGAGAAAATAAAACAAAACAGCAAAAACGGACAACACAGACGATCTACAGTAACTCCTAAAAGTCTGCTCCCACACCTGTATGAGATGAGTGGGAAAGAAAACAGAGAACATCCCAGGAAAGAGAAGACAACAGTCAACCAAAGTAAACATCAAGAAAGCTAGTTAGTTTAGATAGTTTTGATTTGTATGAAATGTTCTTGAAATGATCTTTTTTGAAACACAGTTCCGGAATTGTCACGCCCTAGGATTTAATGATCAAATGGGCTAAACCAAAGAAAAACTGTGTCAATAAATATCCAGTATTTAGCAGGGTGAAAACATTTGTCCTTAGTTGTTCCATAATCTAAATTTAATATCCAGAGTAAACATTTTGTTGCACACATCTACAAGCTGACAAAGATGTTTACTTTATTCAGAGATAACATACTTTCTAAGAAGCAAATCAATTCTGAGTTGTAGATTTCATATTTCCTACTGATATTATATTTTTATGCTTTCAGAGATAATGATTTGATGTTTTAGTTGTTTTTTTGTTTTGTTTTTTTGTTCATTATTGATTGCCATTTAGAAAGTTCATCTTGTTCTCAGTGTGATAGCTTGAATAAAGAACTAAACTTATCCTTTGGTATAATTTACCATTTTCCCCTTAAGGTACTGTAATGAACACCTGCCCTGCCCTCCTCATGTGTACTGGTCGGCCTGGTCGTCTTGGGAACGTTGTAATGTGCCCTGTGGCGGAGGCATCCAATCACGACGTAGAACCTGTGAGAATGGCGATGACTGTCCAGGGTGTGGTCAGGTATGTCTGGCAAAGTTATGCTATTTTTCCATGATCTTTTACTTGCTTTCCTCTTTGGCTATTAGGACACTTGATTCTAAACCATTTGATCTAAGGAACACCCTGAAGTGATGAAACTGGAACAATGAACATGACCAAATCCCCCAGCTCTATTTTACAGCACTGCCAAGCCATCAGATTTATTACCAAGACCTATTTAATGAAACATACACACAAACAGACACACATGCATTTAGTAGTCACTATGCATATGAATAGGCTTATTTTCCGCCACAGAGCTCAGATGATGCAATGCAAGGTTGAAATACAAGCCTTGATGAAAGAATGATGTGACACTTGGGTTATTTCTGGTTTCTGTTTACCATATACACATTCCCTTATCCACAGTCCTGGTAAGAATGAGAGGGAATGAACATGATAGTTTCTCACATCCTACTCAAAACTGGATTAAAGAATATGGGTCAGGGCCTTGTGGATATACAGGATGCTTAAAATGTATTTTTGTCTGCAGATTTTCTTTGAAAAGTAGTAGAGACTTGGTTGCTCATTGGTTAAGGGGGGGAGGATTATTTCAACTGTAAATGCAGGATTTACATTTGCACTTTAAAGTCCTTATGTGGAGTTAAAGAGTGAATTGAGGCTTTTATATTCTTGGATGGCACTTACAATTCATTGAAAAAATGTCTCCCTTTATAGATTTCTTTAGTTCTACCTGTGGATGAGACTTAAATGTTTCAAATATTGAAATTGATTTGGATCTCAAATATATAGAGTGAATATGAAATAACACATTTTCAAACGAGAACGTCATTTATAAAAAAAAAAAAAAGAAAAAAAAAAAAAGAAATATAAACCAGCTTGGCCTCAGCGGAAGAGGTAATGGGCCATTAAAGGAATAGTACACCCAAAACATGATTAGCCTTCATTTTCTACTCACCCCCATGCTGAACAACACTCTGGAGTACTTTTTTGATATCTCAAATGCATCTGGAGATCTGGGAGGCTTCTTGCTGTCTGCTGACATTCAAATAATGGAGGTGCCCAGCGCCCGAGGCAGAAAGGTCCATAAAAGTCCACAAAAAACGTTTCAATATTCCTCCATACTGCTCGTCCAATGTATTCCAAGTGTCCTGAGTGGGTAGCATCCAGAATTTACTCGAAACGAAGTCCTTTAGAATGTTTTTAGAGCATAAACAGTAGTGTATAGGATTTCCTGAAAGCGCGCACCTGCGCGATCCCGACGCTACGGAAGCCGGCAGACCAAACCAGCGCATTCAGCTCGGCAAAGAACTCATGCTCTTCCTCAACACTGAAGTCCTCAGACATTTTTCTTTCGTTGTTTCTTTCTTTGCACAGGTAAACAGCACATTTCTTCTTCTATGCTTGCATTATTGGAAGAGCAGACGCTGAATGCGCACTTTCATCTGGTTTGGTCTGCCGGCTTCCGTAGTGTCGTGAACGCGCATGTGCGCGCTTTCAGGAAATCCTATACACTACTGTTTATGCTCTAAAAACATTCTAAATGACTTCGTTTCGAGTAAATTCTGGATGCTACCCACTCAGGACACTTGGAATACATTGGACGAGCAGTATGGAGGAATATTGACACGTTTTTGTGGACTTTTATGGACCTTTCTGTCTCGGTCACCATAGACCTCCATTATTTGAATGTCAGCAGACAGCAAGAAGCCTCCCAGATCTCCAGATGCATTTGAGATATCAAAAAAGTACTCCAGGGTGTTGTTCAGCATGGGGGTGAGTAGAAAATGAAGGCTAATCATGTTTTGGGTGTACTATTCCTTTAAGTGTTTTCTGTGTCTGGTAATGAAATGTTTTACTTTAAGATGTTTTCTTGTTATTTTTTTTTTATTCAGTAGCGTTATAGTGTTATAAAGCATGGTCATTCAGAGTAGACATGCTGGTGAGACATTATCTGGCTGCATTACACAGTAATGCATTATGCAGTAAACCACTCAGAGAACCAGGGTTAAAGTTTTAACAGGTTTATTGATAAGGTAAGCAGGGGTTGGATTCAAGAAACTCAGTGTGCTGGTGATCGGAACTGGAAGAGGGAAGGGAAGTATCAGTGGTTAGTTCAGGAACTGTGGGAACTTTGAAGAATGGCGGGAGATACTGAAAAAACGGGACTCACGTTAGTGGAGAAGACTTTCTTCCGAGAATCCAGTAAGTGTGGGTTTATCCAGAGGTAGAGATTCAATGGAGGGCGGACAGGTTAAGACTTTGTTGGATCCTGAGGAGCTATTGACCGGACTATCACTTGGAAATCCAGGAGGACTAGAACGGAACTGTTGGAGATTAATCCCCTGCTCAGTGTGAAACTCAAACAATCCTTCCAAGGAAAGAAGGCCAAACATCCAGCTTGCAGGAAGGCCAAAACTGGCAAACACTCTGGCGTTGAGGTAGTGACAGTCCACTGCTCAAATAGTCCTCAGTAATGAGCCAATCAGCCGCAGGTGTGTGGGAAGACCAACGACAACCGGGTGCCACCTGGCAGTGGAGGGAGAGAACAACACAAAAAACACAACCCACACAAACTGGATTCCTAACAATAGGAATCAAAGGAGCATCACAGACAGGTTTTACTGTTTTTATGAAGCTCAGTGTGCAATGTCATTACACCTCCCTAAGGAAGGAGGAAAATAGGAGAATGGGCCCGATTTTGCAAGCACCGATCGGGTTCTGAGAAAATATAAAAAGATTTTTAAAAAAGGAAGAAATTCAACGAGTCACTGCTGGGATTGCTGGATTAATTCATCAGGCCTGTCAGAGACAGACTATCTTAACTACCTGTCATGAACAGTTTCTGTGCATTAAAAAAAAAAGTAAAAGCCTAACTGGGGACAGACATTGAGAATTAGCCTTAGCTAAAATGTTGTAGTGTGTGACATGATGCATGAAACATACTTGTCCCTATCAAATAAACGAATAAATAAATAAATTAGGCTTTTTCACCCTTTAGAGTTACTGTGCAATTAAAATGTTTATAGCTATAAAGAAAATTGAAAGCGTTCTGAGCTATTTGTGTCAAAGATTATAAGATGCCAAAAATATAGTGACTGTGCTGACCTGATTTATAAAGCGTCTTCATTTCATCCAACAGTGACATGAAGTGATTTAATTCCAAGAGCTGATTGTTGTGATATTTATGGACCATATGTCCATGTACTGTAGCTATAAGTTTTCCTAGATAGGTGGTGCATAAAATTTAACATGCGGCAGTCATACTAAAATGGGTCACGCATAAATCCACCTCTTTTTATGTGTTATTACGCGTCCATCTCAAAGAGCAGTGCCTTACTAATTTCAAATTGGCTCAGGGCCTAACAGCCTACCTGCACGGCCCTCCTTACAGTACTTCTGGTGTTTCTCTGGATTCCTTTGCCATCTCCTTGATACATGCTCAGTTTAATTTTTAAATTACTTTGGTAGATGAATTCCACTGTTCTGCGATTTCTACTGTTTTCTTCAATTGTTTCTCCAATCTCACATGTTGATTACATACAAGCGACATATAGCTAGAATCCAGCCAGAATCATCCTGGCATAACACATTTCTTTAGCATCTCAACTCATAACCACAGATCTGATTTTTCAAACGTGAGGATATCCCAATAATCTTTTCATTTTTAATCCCAAAAGAGAATACTCGTCCTTTCTTGTCACTTTTTTTTTATCATTTGTTACATAGATCTACAGTATAAAGTGAGCAGTTTATTCCAGAGACAGTTTTTAGAGGTGTCAAGCAACTGAAGGTCAAACACAGTGGAAACCTTTCTCACTACACTGAAATATTGGCTTGATTATGTCTTTCTTCTTAGTTTTGGATGCTTGGGTTTGTGTCCCCTTTACCTTTGTTTTGTTTTCTCATCGGCTCCTTGTCATCTTCCATTGTCATATGTGCTTAATTAGGTCGGTCTGAGCCAGTGGAGTGGTAATTGGATACAGACTTCACAAACACCCTTTTGTGTGGGGGAACTTGAGACAGCTTTGGTACCTCAGTATAGCTGCTTATTCGCTCCAATCAAAGAAACATTTTATTAAATGTATTTTACAATATTATATTAAAGGTAATTGAGATAATGATGAGCAAATACATCAGTTTACTTCAAGAGAGCCAACTGAAATATTTGATACTGATCAGTTAACGATGGACTACAATAGATTTATCTGTTTAAATATCCTAAGAATAATGAGAAAAGTAAAAATATGTCATATCAATTAGATAAGGCCTGTAGAGATTGTGACAAAGGGACTATTTTAAATTCCATTTATTTGATTGAGTATAGATCAGTAGCTGCAGATATTTTTGCATCTCAGTTTGTAAAGGCATGTGCAAAAGAAGGGTCTACACTGGGTGGCTGAATTGCAAACACAAATCATTGCTTTGAAGATCTACTCCGCACATACAAAGATGTTTGCAACTGTTTTAAGACAGAGAGAATCCTTGTAAAGATCATGCCCATTCAGTTTCATGATTGCACACTGATGTTTGATCCTTTTAGGACATCTCAAGGTAGCTGACTGATTGCACTGGGTTTTATTTAGGGGTATCCAAATAAATAAAATCAGAGACCTGCAGCAATTTTATTTGAATAGGTTGTTATTTAGTTTAAAGATCCTAATGATCTTTTAGGTTAACAATGCTGTATGGAAATGTGTTTGTGTAAACATGCCTGCTCATATTACTACCATAACATCCACCTGTGTTGAGCTCTAGGTGGCTGAAAGACACTAGCAGACACAGATAAAACACAACAATCTTTGTGTTTTGAATTGTCAGAGAAAGAATTTAAAAGGTCCACACATTTTGAAACTTTTTGGAAGTGGATGTATGATGTGAATTCTTTTTACCAACATCTTTTTAATTCCTCATACATTCTCCACTGGGAGCTCCCACCACAACAAAACAAAGACTAGCTGAAGTGAAACTCTGGTTTAAAAAGAGGTGACACTGCTCACATTGAACAACCTTATTGTGTC